TGATTACAACTGCCCTGTAGTATGTCCTGAAATCTGGTATTGTGATGCCTCCGGTTTGTTTTTGTTGTACAAGATTGCTTTAGCTATTCGAGGTCTCTTGTGCCTCCATATAAATTTCAGCACCATTTTTTCCAGATCTGAGAAGAAGGTCTTCGGTATCTTGATTGGTATTGCATTGAATCTATAAATTGCTTTTGGGAAATGGACATTTTGATGATATTAATTCTTCCAATCCATGAGCATGGAAGATTTTTCCATTTCTTGGTATCCTCTTCTATTTCTTTCTTTAAGGTTTTGTAATTTTCATCGTAGAGATCTTTAACGTCCTTGGTTAAGTTTATTCCAAGGTATTTGATTGTTTTTGTAGCTATTGTGAATGGGATTAATCTTAGAAGTTCTTCCTCAGCCATGGCATTGTCTGTGTATACAAAGGCTGTTGATTTTTGTGCATTGATTTTATATCCTGCTACTTTGCCAAACTCTTCTATGAGTTCCAATAGTCTCTTAGTAGAGTTCTTTGGGTCCTCTAAATAAAGAATCATATCATCTGCATAGAGGGATAGTTTGAGTTCTTCCTTCCCCATTTGTATCCCTTTAATTTCTTTTTCTTGCCTAATAGCTCTGGCTAGAACTTCCAGAACTATATTGAATAGCAGTGGTGAGAGTGGGCATCCCTGTCTGGTACCAGATCTCAGTGGAAATGCTTCCAACTTTTCCGCATTCAATAGGATGTTGGCTGTGGGTTTTTCAAAATTGGATTTCTACATGCAGAATCATGAAGCAAGACCCCTACCTTTCACCTTACACAAAAATTCACTCAACATGGATTAAAGAATTAAATCTACGACCTGACACCATCAAATTATTAGAGAGCATTGGAAAAACCCTGCAAGATACAGGTACCGGCAATGACTTCTTGGAAAACACCCCAGAAACACAGGCAGTCAAAGCCAAAATTAACAACTGGGAATACATCAAATTGAGAAGTTTCTGTACTACAAAAGAAACAGGAAAGTGAAGAGGCAACCAACAGAATGGGAAAATATATTTGCAAACTATGCAACTGATAAAGGGTTGATAACTAGAATCTACAAAGAAATCAAGAAACTCCACAAGATCAAAACAAACAACCCACTTAAGAGATGGGCCAAGGACCTCAATAGACATTTTTCAAAAGAGGAAATCCAAATGGCCAACAGACACCTGAAAAAATGTTCAAGATCACTAGCAATCAGGGAAATGCAAATCAAAATCACAACGAGGTTCCACCTCACCCCAGTGAAAATGGCTCACATTCAGAAATCTACCAACAATAGATGCTGGCGAGGATGTGGGGAAAAAGGGACACTAACCCACTGTTGGTGGGAATGCAAACTGGTAAAGCCACTATGGAAGTCAGTCTGGAGATTCCTCAGAACCCTGAATATAACCCTACCATTCAACCCAGCCATCCCACTCCTTGGAATTTACCCAAAGGAAATGAAATTGGCAAACAAATAAGCAGTCTGCACATTAATGTTTATTGCAGCTCAATTCACAATAGCTAAGACCTGGAACCAACCCAAATGCCCATCAACGGTAGACTGGATAAAGAAATTATGGGACATGTACTCTATCGAATACTATACAGCAGTCAAAAACAACGAAACCCAATCATTTGCAACAAGATGGAGGATTCTGGAAAACATCATGCTGAGTGAATTAAGCCAGTCCCAAAGGGACAAACATCATATGTTCTCCCTGATCGGCGACAACTAAATGAACTCCAAAGGGGAAACTTGTTGAAGTGAAATGGACACTATGAGAAAGAGTGACTTGATCAGCTCTTGTGCTGACTGTTGATGTACAATGTAATACTTTATCCATTTTAGTATTTTTTTTTTGTTCTAGTACCATTGGTTGAACTCTGTAATTAACACACACTTATTCTTAGGTGTTTAAATTTTAACTGAAAAGTGATCCCTGTTAGAAATTTGGAAAACATTATGCTGAGTGAAATAAGCCAATCCCAAAGGGACAAATATCACTTGTTCTCCTTGATAGGTGACAACTAACTGAGTACCAAAAAGGAAACCTGTTAGTGAAATGAACACTGAGAAATGGTGACTTGATCAGCCCTCACCCTGACTGTTGATGAGCAGCTTAATATGTTATCCCTCTTAGTATTTTGTTTGTTTGTTCTACTTAATACTTTTGGTTGAATACTGTAATCAATACACAATCCTTCTTAAGTGCTGAAACTTAACTGAAAAGTGATCACTGTTAAATATAAGAGTGGGAATAAGAGACGGAAGAGATGTGCAATTCGGGACATGCTCAAGCTGACTTACCTCAAACCGTAGAGTTAGAAACATACCAGGGGATTCGAATTCAATCCTGTCGCTCCCCGTCTTCATGGAGGAACGACACAGGACCCTGCGTTGTTCTTTCGTCTGCTCGGCCCTCCCTGGGTTTGCTGCTGGTTCTTCCCGGGTTGGCTACCATCCCTTCCACCTCCATGGAAGGGCGGTTCCCCCTAGCCACTTTCCCCACTTCCGCGGGGGAGTGGCACACCGCCAGCCGGCTCTCTCGGGGGCTGCACAGGTGTTCCTTCAGATAGATGTTCCTGGTGCATGTTGTCTCTCTCCTCCTTTATAGTCCTCTTCCGCCAATCCCAACTCTGCTACCCACACGCCGAGTACGCTGCTCTCCTCCAATCAGGAGCAAGTCCTACAGTTTATTGGTTGAACTGGAGGCAGCTGTGTAGAAGCTGTTTCTCCCTTCTCAGCGCCATATTGTGGGAGAGCAGATGCATAGAATAAGTCTTAATTCCAGTAACTTAGTCTAGTCCGAGTTGCTCCCCACAAATCCCATCAAGGTGGCATGTACCAATGCCATCTCACTAGTCCCAGTGATCAATTTCTGTTCACAATTGATCGTAATGATAGGACTAAGAACCAAAGGGATCACATAAACAAGAATAGTGTCTGCAAATACTAGCTGATAGAATAAAAAAGGGAGAGAACAATCCAACATGGGAAGTGAGATACACAGCAGACCCATAGAATGGCAGATGTCCTAAACAGCACTCTGGCCTCAGAATCAGCCCTTAAGGCATGCAGATCCAGCTGAAATGCCCATGATAGTATTTCATGCATGGAAAGCCAAGACACTCTGGGGGAAAAAAAAAAACCTAAATGAAAGATCTCTGCGAGTGAGATCCCAGTGGAAACAATGGGTCATCAAAGAAGGAGGTACCTTTCTCTGAAGGGAGGAGAGAACTTCCACTTTGACCATGGCCTTGTCTAAATATGATCAGAGTCGGTGAACTCAGGGGGCTTCCATAGCCTTGGCAGCTCATGACAAGAGCCTAGGGTGATTACTGATGCCATAAACAAGAGTATCAATTTGTTAAGTCAACAACAGGAGTCACTGTGCACTTACTCCTCATGTAGGATCTTTGTCCTTAGTGTGCTGTACATTGAGATTTAATGCTATAACTAGTACTCAAACAGTATATTTCACTTTGTGTTTCTATGGGGGTGCAAACTGTTGAAATCTTTACTTAATGTATGCTAAACTGATCTTCTGTAAAGAAAGAAATTATCAATTCCTAACTTGACTCTCTGGGATTAAACATGACAATAGGTCTGATATGATTTCATCATCATTTAAAAAATCATCTATTATTTTTCACTTTATGTTTCTTTGTGGGAGCAAACTGTTGAAATATTTACTTAATGTGTACTAAACTGATCTTCTGTATATTAAGAGAATCGAAAATGAATCTTGATGTGAATGGAAGGGGAGAGGGAGTGGGAAAGGGGAGGGTTGCGGGTGGGAGGGACGGTATTGGGGGGAAGCCATTGTAATCCATAAGCTGTACTTTGGAAATTTATATTCATTAAATAAAAGTTTAAAAAAAAGTAAAAAAGAAAACGGAATTAATTCTTCAAGAATTTGGTGAACACTTCCCCTCTATTGACCAACATTAACATGATTGCTGCTTTACTTTATCACCAGCCATGCAGAAACTACTTCAAGGTTTGGATAAACTCCAGTATATTAAGTATTTTAATAACCTTCATAAAAATATCCTCAGAACATAACCAAGCCTTTAACTTATTTTCCCAGTAAGTGACTCCCCCCACCCTCACCCCCCCCATCAGCTTGTTTTCTTGGACTAATGATCCTTTGGGTTCAATGTCACAATGGGAGGTTTGCTCGATGCCCCAGTCTGGGAAACTGAACACAGCTAGCTAACTAACCCACAGGAAGATGGGCCCTGGGCTATTGAGTGCTATGGTGAGAGAATCCAGTGGAAGGGCTGTGCCTGGAGTGGCCTCAGTATTGCTAGACTCAGAGGGAAGTTGTGGGATTGGTCCGATCAGTTGGTCCGAGATATCTACTGCTATCCCTTTGTGTCCTGCCTCAATTTCTCTTTGACCTTTTAGGTTGGTAGTGTTCTTCTCCTTTCCTTATCATACCATCTCATCTCTATAAAAAAATCTATTTCCACAAAGCAGCTCTTGTATATGTGAAAGCCCAAACGTAAAATCTTCTGAGGTTTCTGAATGTTGAGTTTAATCTATACTGGATTTTAAAAATTTTATTTTGACATTCTACAAAAGATCTATAATTTTTATTAATATACAAATAATTACAACTTTATGGGATACAGAGTGATAATTTAAGACATTTATACAGCATGTACTAACGTAAATCACAATAACTAGAATCTGTATATCCATACCCTTTCTTTATGTTTGAGGATTGGCGATCTTCTAGTTTTTAAAATATCTAGCAGGTTACTGAGAACTATAGTCTCCCCACTGTGTTGTGTAGCACTGAACATATTCCTCTATTGGTTAGGTTTTCTTCTTAGAGTTATCAACAGGTGTCTGGCTGTTATATCTAAAATGATGAGGTATATAGAAATTTCTCCTGCAGATGTCACCACAATGAATAGCAAAAGTGAGAGAGGCCTTTCTTTTATTTTGCATTTACTCCTTTTTTAACAGCGGAAACCTCCCATGGTGGTCAATGATCTTTTTGAAGACATGAAGGATGGTGTTAAGCTGCTTGCTCTGCTGGAGGTCCTGTCTGGGCAGAAATTGGTAAGAATGCTTTTTCTGGAACCGCATGTGTCAAATGGCTCCCATTTGAAATTTGGGGATGTAGAGTTCTGAGCATAATAGGGTTTTGTCCATAGAAATGAAGGTTCTTTTGTGGAAATGCTAGTCTACTGGTCCCTTTGTGAGCAAGGAATACATTTCCCTTATTGTTCCTGCACACTCTTAGTACAGTCATCATGTGTAGAATGCACTAGCAACATCATACCTAAGAGTAAAGAACTTCATCAGTAATGTAGTGTGCTTAACTGTTGAATCAGGATGGAATGGAGGAAGATTAGTTGCAAATTAACATCTCCCTCACTTTTAAGTGCCTGTTTCCCATTTGGAATGAATTGTTGGTTGATAACTGTGTATTTATATGGCTGTGTGTTGAAAATTAAACATAAATTCAAGGTGGCATTTTCTTATTCCAGTGGACTTCCTCCACTATCACTCATTTATAACAAGAACAACATGTTCAGGAGTAGCTGTTTTTATGTGCTGTGAAACCAGCACATAACCAACAACATTGTTGGTAAGCTATAAAGTATATTTTACTACATTTTCAAATAATTAAATATAGTTTCTTGCTCATTTTTTTCAATTCAGAGTAGGAAAGTGGTAAGCAGCTTATAAACAAACATGACTTACAAATAATGTTTACTGTAATTGGAAATAGGAGTTCAGGAAATACTTGGAATGTTGTATAATACACTAAACACAAAGTCCCAAATTGGTAATTTTTTATCTGTTGTACCTTGCAAGAACTACACAGTACTCATGCATGACTAAAGTTTTCAGACTTTTTACCTGACCATAAACTTCCAGCTTATTTTGTGCAAAGAGTTTCAAAATAGCTTCTATAAATAACCATTTGCTGGAAAATACAAATTGAAAATAATTTATGTAAATCATTTATCTAATTCGGTTCATATCACAGCAGGTGCTTTTGGTTCCCCATGTCCCATCTCTACTACCTTCTGATGTCAACTATGTTGGCAGGAGTTGGGTTATCAACTCGGGGATTTTGTCAAAGCCACAAGTTGCATGTGGCAGCCATGAAGGATAGGGAACTTGATGGTCTTGAAAGACTCTCGGCTAGGGTAGATGGGAGTCCATGAAAACATGAGTGCATTTTTAGGAAGACCGGTTCTGAGGCATATTTTTACACAGGTCGCACATATTCCTCCTAGATTCAGACCTGAGTTCCATTGCCCAAATCAAGAATCACCAACAGGACACCATTTATTGGCTTTTTGTTCTCCCCCATACCTACTCTCCACACATCCTCACTGCTGCTACCCTGAGCACCTCAACAATGTACTATGTGTACCAAGGTCCTGTCTCGACTTCTGCTTTGGGGAAAATAAAACAAGACAAATATGAATAGCTAACTTGTATGTATGGGTCACATTCATGAGCTAAATAAACATTAGGATGTGGCCATCATTAGACTGAAATACAGACTCCATTAGTTGTCTGATAGAACTTTCCACTCTGTTTTATCATCCTGAATTAAGGATCCTACATAATGGGCACTCAAGAACATGCGTTCTTCTTCAGGTCAATATAATTCCATTGTTGTCCTTGGCCAACAATATACAGAAATCCTGGTGGACATTTAACAACCAAGCTAAATTATTCCATAAAATGTATATATATTTTTACATACCAGTTCTGGTTCTGTTTAAGTGCTATCCTCATTCAGATAGAGTTATGAGAACTTAAAATTGAAAAAATTTCAGAAAGAATCTCAGCATTATCATCTAACAGATATGGAAACTGAAAGAAAGGTGGTTTAGAAAGGCATAGAAAGGTGGTTTCCAGATTAACCTCTTTTATTTATATTGAATCCTGAAAGATTCTGAATTCTATAAAAGAAAATTATTCTGAAATTATAAGTATGTTTTGGTGATGGTTAACTTATATTTTGTACCTGTGAGCACTATGGTTCAGGACCACGTTAATACGAGGAGCATAACTTTAAAGAAAGCATTGTCCTAGGCATTTTTTGTAGAGCTTTTCAAAGGGAAAATATGGGCAGAACTGTTTCTTCAGAATCATTAACCCTGGTTGGAAATCCTATAAATATGTGATGGATAGAGCTTTATTAAGGTCACTACAAATGTTGCAGTTCACATAACTAAGAACTTTGGCTCAGATAATTATTATCCAGGAATTGTGACCAAATAATTTAGCACTCCCCTTACTGCCAGCATCTCAGGGTGAGGATGGACTCTCCATATCCTAGAACTCTCTAATAACCTATTGTCTGTGATATAAGGTCTTACCAATAGATGGGAGTTTGGTCTCGTTCTCACTCTCTCCCTCATCTCTATTTTTATTGTTATCTCTGTCATTCTTTCAAGTAAGTACGGAAAAATTATTTTTGGATTTTTCTACATCCCTTGAATATTTTTTATGAAATGTCTACGATTTAAAAAATTGGGAATAAGAGAGGGAATAGATGTGCAATTCGGGACATGCTCAAGCTGACTTACCTCAAACGGTAGAGTTAGAAACATACCAGGGAATTCGAATTCAATCCCATCGAGGTGGCATGTACTAATGCCATCTCACTAGTCCCAGCGATCAATTTCTGTTCACAATTGATCGTAATGATAGGACTAAGAACCAAAGGGAGCACATAAACAAGAATAGTGTCTGCAAATACTAGCTGATAGAATAAAAAAGGGAGAGAATGATCCAACATGGGAAGTGAGATACACAGCAGACCCATAGAATGGCAAATGTCCTAACAGCACTCTGGCCTCATAATCAGCCCTTAAGGCATGCGGATCCAGCTGAAATGCCCAGGAGAGTATTTCAGGCATGGAAAGCCAAGACACTCTTGGAGGGGGGGGACCTACATGAAAGATATCCGTGAGTGAGATCCCAGTGGAAAGAATGGGTCATCAAAGAAGGAGGTACCTTTCTCTGAAGGGAGGAGAGAACTTCCACTTTGACCATGGGCCTTGTCTAAATATGATCAGAGTCGGTGAACTCAGGGGGCTTCCATAGCCTTGGCAGCTCATGACAAGAGCCTAGGGTGATTACTGAGGCCATAAACAAGAGTGTCAATTTGTTAAGTCAACAACAGGAGTCACTGTGCACTTACTCCTCATGTAGGATCTTTGTCCTTAGTGTGCTGTACATTGAGATTTAATGCTATAACTAGAACTCAAACAGTATTTTTCACTTTATGTTTCTGTGTGTGAGCAAACTGTTGAAATCTTTACTTAATGTATGCTAAACTGATCTTCTGTATATAAAGAGAAACGAAAATGAATCTTGATGTGAATGGAAGGGGAGAGGGAGTGGATAAGGGGAGGGTTGCGGGGGGGAAGCCATTGTAATCCATAAGCTGTACTTTGGAAATTTATATTCATTAAATAAGAGTTAAAAAAATAAAAAATAAAAAAAAATTGTTTATCTTGGGTCTGGCACAGTGGCTCACTTGGTTAATCTTCTGCCTGTGGCGCTGGCATCCCATATGGGCGCCAGGTTCTAGTCCCGGTTGCTCCTCTTCCAGTCCAGCTCTCTGCTGTGGCCCGGGAGGGCACTGGAGGATGGCCCAAGTGACTGGGCCCCTGCACCCATGTGGGAGACCAGGAAGAAGTACCTGGCTCCTGGCTTTGGATCGGCGCAGCACTGGCCGTAGCAGCCATTTGGGGAGTGAACCAATGGAAGGAAGACCTTTCTCTGTCAGTCTCTCTCACTGTCTATAACTCTGTCAAATAAAAAAAAAAATTATATATCTCTAATTACATGCAAACATAGGAACACTAAATTTAGTTTTTCACTTAAGTTTTTTTTTTTTTTTTTTTTTTTAAGAATGTGAGGAAGACAGACATGGTGCTTAAGATGTTTCTTTAAATGTCATTATCCTGTCCTGGATTGCCTTGGTTCAATTCCCAGCTGTGCTCCTGATTCCAGCTTCTTGCTGAAGCACACCCTGGGAGCCAGCAGGTAATGGCACAAGTGCTTAGCTCCCTACCACCCACATGGGAGACCCTGATGGAGCTCCAGGCTCCTGGCTTCTGCATGGCCAAGTCCTGGCTGTTGTTAGGATTTGGGGAATGAGCCAGCAGAGAGATCTTACTCTTCTTCTTTCTCTGTCACTGCCTTTCCTATAGAAATTAATTTTTAAAAAACTAAAAAATGTGTGGAGTTACCATGAAAAAGATAGAAACAATATGATTAGAAAGTAAGGATTATAAAAAAAAACCCTCTCTTATTTTTTAATCTTGCGTATAGTATCTTTTAAAAGACTGGAGAAGCTTAATGACATACCCAAGAGTGAACAATAGTCAAACTTAGGAAATCAAGTATCAGATTTCTGCATGCTCATTTGGTGACTTTTAGCCATTAATCACATATTTAGTTTAAAACTCAATTCGGCACTGGGTTTTGACATTTTCTATAAATCATCCAGCTAACATTTTTAGGGTTATTGTTATGGAGAGGAACTACCTTTTACCCTCTGAGAAAAACAGAGCACAAGTGAGTAAGATATGTTCAGTGCCCTTAAAGAGCTTATAGTTTAGTAAGGAGGGATGATTGTATTAGGATGGGAAAATGTGTATTAAAATATGATGAAACAATATAATAGATGTTTGTGTCTTCCTCACATAGCCAGGATACTTCTGAATGAATGAGAAAAGCAGAAAGGATATTATTTACCCTACACAATATCAGATTTTACAATGAAGGTTTATCAATTTAGACAGTTGGTATTGTTACAAAAATAGGCATATTGACAAATATAGCAGAGTCCAGAAAGACATGAATGGAACCTGAATATGTTGGAGGTGAATGTCAGATCTTGAGGAAATGAGGAACTAGTCAATAAATTAAACAGGAGTAAAATTTATCCTAATATAAATAGATGAAATTTGATCATTGTGCTATAAAAAATAAAAGCTATACATATTAAGAGCATAACGGCCAAAACTCTTTAAATTCTTAGTATGGGTGAACATTTTTTGAAAAAAACTAATATGACACAAAAAATATTGCTGTATTTAAATTAAAATTATAGTTTTAGTGATCTATGATTACTATAAAACTTGCTATATATGGGTGAAATGGTCATTTTCCATTCAATTATTATTTATGGCCATTATCTATACCCCCACTAAACTGGGGTATTTTTGCATTTTACTGGTTCAATTTATTAAGTATTAAGCCTTTTTACTGTAATGTAATTTTAGAATACATTTTACTCAAACTAAAAAAAGAGAAAAAATTGAAGTGAGGAAGATAGGAAGGAAATATCATTATGTTCTTAGAATTGTATCTACAAATCACATTGAATCTGGAAAAAACTAATTTTTTAAAATTAAGACTATTTTAAAAATAAAACACCTTTGAATTGACAAGTTACAAACTTGTTCAAGACACTCAAAATTCATTTTGTGAAAGGATGAAAAGAAGACTTTACCAAGAATATATAAAACATATCTTCAAAACAGTATGTCTATACATAGCTCATAGGAAGACCTGGGCAAGAGTATGGCATTTTACAAAGGAAACACAAATTGCTAATAAACAGAGGAAGAGATGTACACATCATTGCTGATTGGGGAAATGCAAATGAATAACACAGTGAAAAAGGGCGCACACATTTTATATGCATTCAGTTGAAGGGGAAAAGATTCTTAAGTATCTGTCATTGAACTGTCATAGAGCACATGCTTAAAAAGGATTATTTTTGCAATGCTCGTAATAGAGAAAAGTACTACAACCATTTCAGGGAAGATTGGCATTACTTTGCAAGTTCAAAAGTCTCATTCCTGCTAACTCAGCAATTCTTTCCTATTCATATACCTAAGAGAAACTATACGTACACAAAAGATAAGTACAAGACTGACCCATCAGCATAGGTTACAATAGAATAATCTGGAAATAATCCATGTGATCTTACAAGGAAAGCATGTAAATGGCACACTAGATAGCTGTCAAAATGAACAAAATTTAGCAAAAAAATCAATAATATAAATGAATCTTAGAAATGTGCTACCTGGAAAAGTAATCTCAAGATATTGATACAGTGATATTCTTTATATAGTATTAAAATGGAAGTGACTATTCTGTTAAAGAATACAAATAAATTAAAGGAATATATACATATGTATATGTATATATATATATAAAGGGAATTGTTGAATTGAACTCAGTGGGATGGTTGTCATGAGAGTAGGAATGTAGGAGTATGGAATAAATCATGGTGTCAAGGGATATGACTTTCATTCTTAATTAGGTCCTAGCTGAATTCTAGTTGGCAGTTCATGGGTGCTTTTTGTATTATAAATGATAAATAAGTGATTCATGTGCACAAGGTATAACAGTGGTCCCAGTAAAGAATAAACAAAAATTTTAAAACATATCCTCTATTTAAGTATTTGCTTTAAAATCTGATCCTCAAACTTACTACCTAGCACACTATTTTTTTCCAAAGAGTTATTTATTGAAAGAGTTACACAGAGAGAGGAGGAGAGGCAGAGAGAGAGGTCTTTCATCTGCTGGTTCACTCCCCCATTGGCCGCAAAGGCTGGAGCTGTGCTGAAGCCAGGAGGGTCCTACAGGTCTCCCACGCTGGTGCAGGGGCCCAAGGACTTGAGCTATTTTCCACCACTTTCCCAGCCCATAGCAGACAACTGGATCAGAAGAGGAGCAGCTGGTGGCCAGGGAGTGCAGTGGAGGATGGCCCAAGTGCTTGGGCCCTGCACCCCATGGGAGACCAGGATAAGTACCCGGCTCCTGCCATCAAATCAGCGGGGTGCGCCGGCCGCGGCAGCGGCGGCCATTGCAGGGTGAACCAACGGCAAAGGAAGACCTTTCTCTCTGTCTCTCTCTCTCACTGTCCACTCTGCCTGTCAAAAAATAAAAAAGAGGAGCAGCTGGTTTCAAACCAACACCCACATGGGATGCTGGCACTGCAGACAGAGGCTTTAACCACTACACCACAGCACCAGCCCCAACCTAGCACATTATTAACAGGATTTGGTTTTGAGCTTCAGTGAGAGATTATTTAGAGTTTTCATGTAAAGTATGCTAATATCTACTTAATGGAAATTGTTTTGATTCTTCAAGTTAACAATGTGGCATGGAGACAGTGCATAATAAATTTTGGTAGCTTAAACTGTGGGGAGCAACCCGGACTAGACTAAGTTACTGGAATTAAGACTTATTCTATGCATCTGCTCTCCCACAATATGGCGCTGGGAGAGGAGTAAACAGCTTCTACCCAGCTGCCTCTCGCCAACTTGAGTGATGACCTGCAGGAGCTGATCCTGCTCCTGATTGGAGGAGAGCAGCGTACTCGGCGTGTGGGTAGCAGAGTTGGGATTGGCGGAAGAGGACTATAAAGGAGGAGAGAGACAACATGCACGAGGAACATCTAGGGGGAACATCTATCTGAAGGAACACCTGTGCAGCCCCCGAGAGAGCCGGCCGGCGGTGTGCTGCTCCCCCGCGGAAGTGGGGAATGTGGCAGGGGGAACCGCCCTTCCACGGAGGTGGAAGGGACGGCAGCCAACCCGGGAAGAACCAGCAGCAAACCCGGGGAGGGCCGAGCAGACGAAAGAACAGCGCAGGGTCCTGTGTCGTTCCTCCACGAAGAGGGGGAGCGACATAAACACAGATTACTTAGGATATATATGTATCAGAACACACTGTTTTGTGGAAAATATTTTCATTCTCACGACTGTATTTTACCCTTAGCTCTTCTGTTCCATGTGTTTTGGTCATTCAAATCAAGAATGCTACTAGTACTGTCAGTATCTTTGCATGTTCATATGGCTGAAAAAAAATAGTAATTTCCTTACTGGTAAGATTGACAATCTCAATAGATTGTCAATTTCTCAAGCACAGGAGTTTGGGAAATCTCCATTCTTAGGCATACAGAAACCTAAGAGGCAAATGCATTAACAGGACAGCTGAAAATAAATGTTTTGATTAAATAAATTAGTACATCTTCAAGAGTGCTAAGAAGACAACATTCCCTCATGTATTTGCTGACCTTTATAGAAACCAAGTAATTTTTATTGCTCTTGAATATTCTGTCAGCACATTTTAACCCATACGAATAGATTTTATAACTATTTTAATGTGTTCATTTTGATTTATTCCTTTTCTTTAACTTTTTATAGCCTTGTGAACAAGGACGCCGGATGAAACGAATCCATGCTGTGGCTAACATCGGCACAGCACTCAGGTTCCTTGAGGGAAGAAAGGTAAGAGAGAAATAAAACACCAGAACACTTAAGAAGGCATGGACACACTGACTGGCTGTGGGGTAAAACACCATGTAATCTATGCAGCACAGACATACAATATTACTATGAGATAATTTTAGATTTACAGAAAATTTGCAAGAGAGATTCCATGCCTCCTCTTCACCCAACTTCCGCTAATGTTAAGAACATGTATAACCACAGTACAATTACCAAAATAGAGATTGAAATGGTTATGATGCTATTAACTAAAGCAGCAACATTGATCAAATCCCATCAATTTTCTTCCTGCTGTTTTGTTTCTGTTCCAACCCAGTATTACATGTTGCCTTTGTCTCTTTAGTCTACAGTATTCTTTCATTGTCTCCTATGACCTTGACAATTTTTATAACTGCTAGTGAGTTATTTTGCAGAACGTCCTCAATTTGAGTTTATATAATATACTGTCATGATTCAATTGAAGCTGTAGACTATTGGCAATGAAGTGAAGTTGCATTCTTTCCAGTGTTTCACTCAGTGGATACAGGATTCTGGCAAGTCTTATTGCTGATAATGTTAACTTAGATCACTTGCTAAGGTGGTGTCCTAGTCCATTTCTGTTGCTGTAACAAAATACTTGGGACTGGGTAGTTGATAAAGAATAAATAATAGAAGCTTCTTTGGCTTATGGTTCTGGAGAATGGAAAGACCAAGAGAACAGCTTCTGGCCAGCGCTGCAGCTCAATAGGCTAATCCTCCACCTGCAGCACCGGCACCCTGGGTTCTAGTCACAGTTGGGGTGCCAGATTCTGTCCCGGTTGCCCCTCTTCCAGGCCAGCTCTCTGCTGTGGCCTGGGAGTGCAGTAGAGGATGGCCCAAGTGCTTGGGCCCTGCACCCGCATGGGAGACCAGGAGAAACACCTGGCTCCTGGCTTCGAATCAGCGCCATGTGCCAGCCACAGCGCGGTGGCCATTGGAGGGTGAACCAAAGGCAAAGGAAGACCTTTCTCTCTGTCTCTCTCTCTCACTGTCCACTCTGCCTGTAAAAAAAAATAAAAAAAAAAAACAGCTTCTGTCACTTGGTGAGGAATTCCCTGCTGCAGAATGTGACCGAGGGCAAGACAGAGCAAGCATGTGTCAGCTCAGGTCTGTCCTCTCTTCTCTTAAAGCCACCAGTTCTATCACAGGACCACATCCTGCTTACCTTGTGCAATCCTCATCACCAATCATGAACATAGGAATTTGAGGATTAAGACTACAACATACGGAATTAGGGACATAGTTCAGTACAGTAGATGGTGTCCACTATGTGTTTTGTGGTAAAGTTACCTTTTCCCCTTCTTGTTGAGAAGCAAGCCAAGGAGATTATTAACACTTGCTAATTTTCTGATTCATTTGCAAACTTCTGTTCACTTGTCTTGGTATCAATTGTTTACAGAAATTATTTTTGTGATGTTTACATGATGGTAATTTTGTATTTCCCTTCTTCTCACTACATTTATTAATTGAATTATTCCGTAAGAAAAAGTCTTTTCTTCCCCATTTATTTGTTCAATTTTTTATCTCAGAGTAAACTCATCATATTTATTCAATAATTATACTCCGTTACTCTCCTTATTGTTGTTACTTTGTTACTCGTATTGTTCCAGCTTTGAGCATTAAGAGCTCCTGATAGCACCATCTGATGTCCCTCTGCCAATTTTCAATCACATCCTTTTTTCTGAAATGATAGAGATTCCAGGATTATGATCTATCATTTCTACCCCAACCCTGAGATCAAGCACTTCTCTAAGGAGGCCTTGTTCCTTTCATTGGTGGGTGGTATCAGAAACCACGGTTTAGATATCTGCTTATTGCTCCTGGGTATCAATGTTCCTAGGCCACCTTGGCAGACAGATCGAGAAAGCATACATTCTCACTGCCCTGTATGTACACACACATCTGTTCCTCTCCTTCCTCTGTCTGTGTGTATGTGCCCACTATCATTTCAAGCTGATTCCCCTGATTACAGTCTAATCCAACCCCACAATGTTCATTCTAGTCTTAAATGCTTGCTTTCTGCTTTCTCTGAAAATGAACAACCTGATTCTCATCTATAATATATTCACATAGCCTTTAATTCTGATATACACATAAAGTAGTTTCAGAATTTCTAACCACTACCCCTTTGAGAAATATTTACTACCTGAAAAATATTTGTGTACAACTTTTTTTGTCTTTAGTGGTTCAGTATCCCACCAAGAGACTGATTTCCAAATGTATTTAGATTACTTCTGTTCTTCCCTATCCCCTTCCGTGAGATTGTTTTACTCATTTGTAGTATAGTCATATTCATTTGTTACTGCTTCTACTCCATTTTGTCCTCCCACACATATACTTACGTATCTTGGTTGATTTAATTGCTTGGTTGACTGACGCATCCCTGTGACTCTAAGAGTATGTTATGTTTAGAGAAGCATAACCTTCCACCTCATCTCTGCTACTGTGTCTTTATTCTCTGCCTTTAGCTCCATTTGCCCCCTGCAGGTAACCAGACTCTAGTTTCTGAACTCCTCTCTGTATTTCCTTTCGCAAATGAGGCGTGTTTTCATATTCTCCCTACTTTTGTTCATGAAGGTGAGCACACTATAAAGGATTTTGACTTTTCCATTTAGCATTACATCCTGGAAATCTACCCATGTCAGTTTATAGAGATTACCTCATTCTCTTTACAACTGTGTAGTATTCCATTATCTGAATATGCCATAGCTTATTCAGCCTCTCTTTGAATGGCACTTAGATTGATTCTAATATTTTTCAAACACAGTGATGCAATTTATAACTAGTAGCATAAGTAGTTTCACATTATTAGAAATATATCTTCTAAGTATATTACAAATCACAAGTGTGATTTCTAGGTAAAAAAAAAAAAAGCAAGTGTGTCGCTCCCCGTCTTCGTGGAGGAACGACACAGGACCCTGCGCTGTTCTTTTGTCTGCTCGGCCCTCCCCGGGTTTGCTGCTGGTTCTTCCCGGGTTGTCTACCGACCCTTCCACCTCCGTGGAAGGGCGGTTCCCCCTAGCCACTTTCCCCACTTCTGCAGGGGAGCAGCACACCGCCGGCCGGCTCTCTCGGGGGCTGCACAGGTGTTCCTTCAGATAGATGTTCCTGGTGCATGTTGTCTCTCTCCTCCTTTATAGTCCTCTTCCACCAATCCCAACTCTGCTACCCACACGCCGAGTATGCTGCTCTCCTCCAATCAGGAGCAGGTCCTACAGTTTATTGGTTGAACTGGAGGCAGCTGTGTAGAAGCTGTTTCTCCCTTCTCAGCACCATATTGTGGGAGAGCAGATGCCTAGAATAAGTCTTAATTCCAGTAACTTAGTCTAGTCCGGGTTGCTCCCCACACAAATGTACATGTACTTTTGTGAAGTTTTGCATACTTTCCTCCAAAAGTGCTGAAGCAACCCTCTGAGGTTGAGCCTTTCTAACTGTGGGAGTTGAGAAATCTGTGCTTGGTGATATCAAAACCAGCTTTATAACTAGAATAACACAAAGTTCTGGAAAGCAGAACAATTCAATTATTTCCTTCTCAATTCATGTTCACTAAGTTAATTCATTTACTCCACAAATGTACTTTCACCAAACAGGAACTGTGGATGATACGAAATTAAACAAATCTTGGGACCTACCCCTCAACATTTACATTTTGATAGGTTGACAATGCTATGAATCAGTGTAAAATTCAGTCAGTTGTGCAAACTTCATATCCAAGAGAGATTCCAGGCGTTTATGTAGTGTAGAAAAGCGGTCCTCATTCCCAATGTGTTGTGAAAAGATCACGGTCATCTTACTCTTGTTGGATGCCTGCGTCTTGCTCAACCTGTGTTAGTTTTTCATAGAAAACTGCGTGAAGCTTTGGAGGAACAATAAATGTAGTTTTTCAGGTCATTAATTTTCCCATTTCAGTTGTATAACAATAAGGCCGTATTTCATTCTGACGTGTATTTATTCTCTAGAATCTAAAAATTCATCTTATTAATTAATGATCTTAGAGAAAAGTTTAATGCCTCATCCTGTAAAATGTGTTTACACGGAGTTGTTTTCACAGAAGACTGCCTTTCACAAGGTCTGCTTTCACGGAATGTCAAGTAATAAAAAAAATGAGAAGACTCAGATTTTAAATATTATACTTACTAAGAAAGGAATGCATTTGAGTCTTGGATAAATATCTTTAAACCATCACGAGTTCCTGAACCTTTCTTATTAGTAACATACCTCATGAAATCTTGGTTTAAACTTGTTTTAAAATTTTTATTTGTGAGGCAAAAACATTATTATTATTATTACTATTTTTCTATCCACCGATTCTCCCAAATTACCGTAATCACCAGGACAGGGCTAATTAGGGCTGAAGCAAGAAACCAGGAACTAAATCCAGGTTTCCCATGAGGGTAGCAGACATCCAGATATTTGCGCTTTCTCCTAGGGTACATATTAGGAAGAAGCTGTAGTCAAGAACCAGAAGCAGGACTCAAATCCAGGCATTCTGATCTGGGAAGTGGATACTTCAACTAGCATCTTTATCAGTGTAAACTTAGCTATTGTGCTAGAAGTCTGAAGAGTGCTGTGTTATTTTTCTTTTCTTGTTCAGGGATTATGCGAAGAGTGATGAGCAATTGTAGACTGAATGCTATGGAGAATGATTTAGCGTAAACTTACTATATATATTTTTCTGGGAGAGAAGAAGTTTCTTTTAATATTTAGGGCAACAACAAAATGAGTAATTGGGGACAACTGGTAACAAATTGACATCTATCCTGAATGCCTGATAGTTATCTTCCCCCCAGAGTAGGAAATGAATGCTAATATCTCTCCATTTTACTATTTCTTAGCTTTCCTTTTTCTTTTTTTCAAATTTACTACTTAGGTATTTATTTCTTTTGAACAAATGATGCTGACTTTGAAAGGTGGTTTATGTATGAATATCATCTTCTCCCTTTGTTTTTCATGTCAGTCCATGTACAGAGGATCACCGGTTAGTACAAATTTTAGAATTCTTAACTCCTGATTTTTGTAGGTAAAAGAGAATCTAAGTTTCATGCTATTTGGTAACAAACTTCAAAGTAAGTGCATCTTCTTAAAATACTCATCATGGTTCCTTTTATTTCCCAGTCGACCTCTAAATATAAAGAATATGCTTTTTGTTTGTTTATCATTTTTGTTGGCAATTTCCTGCATGATATATTTTTCAACATTAAACAAAAGTTTTTAAAATCCATTTTATAGTTTTTTTTGGTTTTTGTTTGTTTTGTGCACCTAACAATGCACCTGGAATTTTCACTGAAACCACATGCTTATTTGTTTTTACGACTCACCCTACTGACCTGTGTGGACCACTACATAGGCATGCCCAAATATTAGTGACATCTAATAAAGTCCTGATTATTACAAAATTAAATGGCTTATAATGTTCTAGTATACTACTAGTACATTTTTTCTTTTTAAATAGATTAAATTAGTCAACATTAACTCCACGGATATAGCTGATGGGAGGCCCTCAATAGTTCTCGGATTGATGTGGACCATCATTCTCTATTTCCAGGTATTGTGCTATGCTTCCTTCTTTACCTACAATAATGTTATGAAGGGAGACAGCAGTAGACATTTCAATAGTGCCTTCATTTGTTGTATCTTTGAGGTTAATCCTCAGCAGAAATGTGAACTTCACACATTGTTTCTTAATAGCAGAGGAATTTTCTTTCCTCTTCTCCTTTGCAAAGATGTTGTACATGGAGCCTCTCCCGGAGAACTCCAGTGCAGTCCGGTCTGAAAAATGAAGATTAAGTTTATCTGCAGAAGGAGCTCAAAGAAATTTTCATTTTTCTCTGTGATGGAGCATTTCTAAGCTCCTGTTAGACAAGAAGGGGAGAATTGTCATTCCATCCCAAATAACTGTTGACCATTGTGTTTTGTTAATGCATTACTGTATTCACTGAGCATATATTGATGTGCATAAAACAGAGTGCAGTGGTAGCTCCAAAGAGGAATAAGATATTACCCAATTCCTGTAAGGTCTTACATTTTGTCGAGGGTGTTAAGGACATTAAGATGAACCACATTTAGTTAGAAAAGTAAAATATATGTGGAGAAAGATAGTTCTTATGTGAAGAAAGATAGTTCTTATGTTTTTGCTGGTAATTAACACACACAGATTGAAGAGTTGACCAGCAACCTGCCGCAGCTGCAGTCTCTGTCTGGCAGTGCATCTTCCGTGGACAGCATTGTCAGCTCTGAAACCGCCAGCCCTCCAAGTAAGCGCAAGGTAGCTACCAAGATCCACGGAAATGCCAAGAAGACGTTACTAAAGTGGGTTCAGTGTGCAGCTGGCAAGTAAGTACTAAGAGTTTGTTTAAATTGAAACCCGTGGAGTGGGTGTTAGGCTTTGTGGTTGATGCCCATGACCTGTAGCTGACTCTGGCTCAAGTACTTGTATTCCTGCCACCAAAATGGAAAACTTGGATTGAGTTCCTGGCTGTTAACTTCAGCCCAGCCCAGTCCTGGCACTTGTAGGCATTTGTGGAGTAAACCAGCAGATGAGAGAGAGAGAGAGAGAGAGAGAGAGAGAGAGAGAGAGATCTCTCTTTCAAAAGAATAAATAATTTTTAAAGCCCTTAAATAATTTATCAATTGATTACATTATCTTCCAATGATAGTAATGTTTGAAGAGATACTTGAATGGATGTCTTTATTTTAACTCTTGTTTCTCTTCCCTTGAATTAAAATGAAAACAATTACTGGTAGTAGTCTAGAAATATACTGAAATAATATTAGTTTCCTCTTCATTTGTGAGATTAGGCCTGGTTAATTAGATGAATTAATTCTACACTTTGGCTAATAGCATGAGAAGTAATTCTATTCAGGCCTTTGGATAGAATTTCTGCTCCTATTGAATAATCTTTACACAAATAAGTTAGAGATTTAAATTATATCATCTCTTTATAAGACTACTGAGCTCTTTTTACTAATACTAAAAAGTCTATATATTGGAAAAAAATGTTCTTGTGTCCTGAAACTTTCTAGTGATTGATCTCATTTTTTGTCTAGAAGGTATATTCTTTTGCCAACTCTTTATTTTTTAAGGTTTATTTATTGGAAAATCAGAGTGACAGAGAGGGAGAGACACTAAAAGAGATTCTCCATCCTATGGTTCACTCCCCAAATGGCTGTAACAGCCAGAGTTGGGCCAGACCAAAGCCAAGAGCCAGGAACTCCATCCAGGTCTCCAAAATAGATGTCAGGAGTCCAACTACTTGGGCCATACTCTGAAGCATTCCCAGGTGCACTAACAGAGGGCTGGATCAGAAGTGGACCATCTGGGACTCCAGCAGGTGCTCTGATATGGGATGCCAGCATTCTAGGCAGTGGCTTAACCTGCTGTGCCACAACACTGGCCCCAATTCTACTTCTATAGTCTGAGAATTTGCTCTGGTTTTCCTTTTGCTTGTCACAACAAATACACATGTAGAAACATTTATATGATAATCGTATATAGAAAACGACTACTCTCCAAAAGAAGTCTTCTCACTGAAATTTCAATGGAGTGTTCAGTTTAACTTATCAATATCTTGTGATCAAGGCTGAATCCACGGGGCCAGCGCTGTGGCTCACTTGGTTAATCCTCCGCCTGTAGCGCCGGCATCCCATATGGGCGCTGGGTTCTAGTCCCAGTTGCTCCGCTTCCAGTCTAGCTATCTGCTGTGGCCCGGGAAGGCAGTGGAGGATGGCCCAAGTGCACCCACGTGGGAGCCCAGGAGGAAGCACCAGCCTCCTGGCTTCGGATCAGTGCAGCACTGGCAGTAGTGGCCGTTTGGGGATGAACCAACAGAAGGAAGGCTTTTCTCTCTCTCTCTCTCTCTCTCTCTCTCACTCTCACTCACTAACTCTGCTTGTCAAATAAAAAAAAAAAAGGCTACATCCATTCATAGAGATATTGTTCATTAATTTGATTTTCCTACCTGTTATATAAGCTAACTCATTTTCTATCTTGTTTTGCATGTCTAAATATAATCTGAGTCTGATTTTCTTTCTGAAAAATTGTTGTAAATAGTAATTAATGTAAAATATTGAGGCATTAAACAGACTTATTTCTATTTTTAAATGTGACTGAAGAGCAAAAATGGAAAGAGGAAGTTAACATTGTGAACATGTAATTAATGTTACTAATTTTTGCAGTTTTTTAGCTTTTAAAGTGTGTCGACTTCTAATTTGGGATGTATATTTATGATTCAAGAGCAGCCAAAAATATTCCTGAAGTAAAGCTTTTGTGACTCTGTAGAATCTATAGTGGAAAATAAATATGATAAGTTCTTCCCACAATGCTGGGATACTGACCGCAAGTACATTGGGCATTACTCATCTCTGTTGGAAATTGACTGGAAAAAGGAAGAGGTTGGACTGGAGAACACAAAACCACATCCAGATATTTACTGATGTGCTTTTGGAATTAAACTTTGTAACCAAGTCAATGTAGCATTCTGTTATTTATTACTCCACACAGCATTAAATTAGCCCAAAACAAATTCCCATTTAATAATTAAGTGGCTTAACTTAAACTCATATTTAATGTTATTGGAGTCGCCCTGAATTTAATTTTATGCATGCCATGTTGAGTTTCAAAGATGTTCAGGGGTCCAGAGACAGCTCAAAACGTTTCTTGCTTGTATACCCATAACACCAATGGAAGTTGTGTTTTGCTTATCTGTGGAAATATCCAGAAATGTGGACCTGATGTTCTCCACCCACTAACACATCAATGAGATCCATTTGTTTGTAGATGCAGAAATTAGAGGTTTAAGGAGATGACTCTTCATTGCCATGAAAATTGGGTGACTAATACATGATTCCATTATACTCCCAACTCTTGATAATTTTTCCTAAAATCTACCTTTTATGCTAGCCTAGTGTATACTTTTCATGGAACTTATTATATGATGTGGTTAAGAGACTTTGGATCCACCATAGAGTCTATGAATGATATTTTCCCCCAAATTTTTATTTTTGTGGGACTCTGTAATCTGGAGGTTCGGTAGGAAGTAACTAACATTCAGTAAACATCGGACTGTCAGTGTAAACTCATTATTTTCATATATAGTTTAACAATATTTTAGAAATGAGATTAAAATACTGTATCAGTAACACAGGCTACATAAGTGCTTTTTAAAAAAATTTTTTATATGAAAGGTAGAGTTACAAAAAAAGGAGGGAAGGAGAGAGAAAGAGAACTTCGATCTGTTGGTTCAATCCCCAAATGGCCACAATGGCCTGAGTTGAGCCACACCGAGGATAGGAGCCAGGAGCACTTCATCCAATTTTCCCACTTGGACCATCTTCTGCTTTGCAGGTACAGTAGTAGGGAGTTAGATTGGAGGGCAGAGTAGCTGGGACTCAACCTGGTATCCATATGGGATGCCAGCACTGCAGGCAGGGGTTCAACTGCTATGTCACAATGCAGGCCCCATAAATGCTATTTTTAAATTGATTTCATCCACTGCCAGTACATAGTCTCAGAAATAACATTAATTTACAGCATATTTGACATTTGCATGCCTATTATCAAGTATCTATGAAGAACAATTATATTTTATGATGGAAATTAATAAGATAACCAAACTAAACTAATTAAGATAGGTATACACAGATTCATTCAAAGTAGCTTAAAATAAGCATGTATTACAGTTCAGAAATGCCTATAAACTGGACACTTCATCAATTTATTACATCATGTATTTGAGTTTCCTTTAGGTTTGTGTGCATTGGTAGTATATATTTTACATGCGGCTGGTGCTGTGGCGTTGCTGGCATCCCGTATGGGTGCCCAGCTGCTCCACTTCTGATCCAGCTCTATGCTGTGGCCTAGGAAAGCAGTTGAAGATGGCCCAAGTCCGTGGGCCCCCTGCCTGCATGAAAGACCCCGAGGAAGCTTCTGGCTACGGATCAGCTCAGCTCTGGCCTTTGCTGTCATTTGGGAAGTGAACCAGCTGATGGAAAACCTCTCTCTCTCTCTGGCTCTATGTCTCTTTGTAACTCTGTCTTTCAAATAAATAAAATAAATCCTTAAAAAAAATATGAACATATTTTACAGTGAACCTCAAGTTCACTTAGAAAACTTAACATTCACCAGCTCTGCTAAATTTATTCTATTAAACAGTATGTCAGATTGTATTTTTCATGGAATGTTAGAGAATCTAGTAAAAATAACATTTCTGCTTTATTTAGAATAGCTACAAAGTTAATGAGACTAAGTTTTTAAGAAGAAATTGAAATCACTGGATCTACTGCATTTCACTTAATTAAGCAATCATATTCATAGTCTCTCCTACTCAGGGCTGCTGGTGATGCTCAGAATGATCTCAGCTCTCCTTATGGAGCTGCCTTTCTCAGTGATGAGTTATGTAGAGAAAAAAATCCTCACTATGATCTTGACTCATTTCTGGTTTCTGTTGCCAGTTTGAATCTCTTTCTAAATTATAAATGGTTCAAAACTAATTCACTAACAAAGAAGACCGATCTGCCACTAGGTCATTGTCTTCAAGGTAATTTTAAAATACCACAAAAGCATATGAAAACCATTTGAAGGGCTGACATTGTGGTGCAGCAGGTTAAGCTGCCATCTGCAGTGCCAACATCCCATATGGGCATCTGTTCATGATCCAGCTACTCCACTTCCAATCCAGCTTCCTGCTATGTGCCTGGGAGGTCACTGGAGGATGGTTGGGCCCCTGCACACACAGAGGAGACCTGGATGTAGCGCCTGCCTCCTGCCTTCAGCCTGGCCATTGTGGCCATTTGGGGAGGTGAACTAGTGGATGGAAAACCTCTCTCTGTCACTCCTTCTCTCTAATTCTGACTTTCAAATAAATAAATCTTTTAAAAACTTTTAATAAGATAATTGGAATGGCTCTCTGAGCTGATAAAAATCATAGGGTATTTTGTCACCACTTTGGACTTATTATCACATCTATTTGCATTTGTATATTCTGCACTTGCTACAGTTCAGCCATAATACCTTAGTCTGTTATAACCTATGCATTGCAGTTCTCAGAAATGTATGTCTTCAAAAATTATGCAGTAGTTAATTATTATCACTTTAGATGCTTTTATACTTTAGCTTTTTAAAATTTTTCTCAGATCATTTTCTGTACATTTTTTTTGTTTGTTTTTTAAAAGGTGAAAATGGGACCAGTGCTTTAAACCACCTCCTTCAATGTTGGCATCCCATATGGGGGCCAGTTCAAGTCCCAGCTGCTCCATTTCTGATCCAGCTTCCTGTTAATATGTAAAGTAGTGAAAGATGGCCCAAGTGCTTGGGCCCCTGTCACCCGTATCAGAAAAGTGGGTGAATTCCAGGCTCATGGCTTTGGCCTGCCCCAGCCCTGGTCATCATGGCCATTTGGAGAGCGAACCCATGGATGGAAGATTCTCCTCCTCCCCTTCTCACACCTCTCCTCTCTTTTTCTCTCCTCTCTCCCCTCTCTCCTCTTGCTTCTGCCATCTCCCCTTCTCTCATCCCGCTCTATCTACAACACTGTCTTTAAAATGAATGAATGAATCTTTCAAAAAATAAAAAAAAATTGAAAGTGTGAAAATGTGCTTTAAGCTATCAATGACCAAAAAGTCCAGTATTTCTATAGGAAGCACCAAAAATGGGACTAGATTTCCATCTTGCCTTACTGCCTTCTAAATTTTGTTGCTTACATTTTTCTAAAAACATAGAACTGATTTATTTAACTGTATATTGTTGGTGAAAAGCCCTGGATTTTGCATTAGGCCTTGAGGAGAGTGCTTGTGTTTACTGAGAATGTGACATGATTTTGTGTGTTTATCACACCAAGGCAGACTGGAATAGAAGTGAAGGACTTTGGACGGAGTTGGAGGAGTGGAGTTGCCTTTCATTCAGTTATCCATGCAATCAGACCTGAACTAGTGGACCTGGAGAAAGTGAGAGGCAGATCTAACCGAGAGAACCTGGAGGAAGCATTCACCATTGCAGAAGTGCAACTGGGGATCCCAAGGCTGCTAGATCCTGAAGGTACCTACAATAACCAAGGACTGTTTTATACCCTAACACAGTGGGCTTGCGTGTCCTACCTAAATCCAGAAATCACACAACTTCCAAGACACTATTGGAAATCAGAAAGCTGGCAAAAAGAGGCAAAAAAAAAAATCATCCTGTACCAATTTTTCACTGGATAAAATATGACTACATTGTTCCAAATAGTGCTTTGATCCAGAGGGACTGGACTTACTCAATAGAATTAAGGATTAAATGTAATTTTTAGAAGTGCATTTATGGGAGGTCAGGGTTTAACAGGATAAAATAATAATTTAAATAACTCTAAAATTTCTGGAATAAATGAAATTATTCTACTTAATTATTGGAAATATTTGATCAACTTTAAAATATTAGTTACTAGATACTTAGAAATGTTGGTAACCATTTAGTGATTTGGTGTCAAGTAGCAAAAACATAAATGATTAATATTTTCATTCTAATTGTTTGACACAGTTTTGGTAGGGCTATGAATTTTAAGGCTTTCTGGAAATAGTTACCCATTTCAAGCCTTCAAAAGATCATTTTGATACTCTACATAAACTAGTAAGTTGCTACATTGAAATGAAAGTAGCAAAGTGAATTTGCTAAATGTTACAGATAATTTCTTCTTAGGGATGACAGTAATGGAAACTTGTATTAATGATGTGGAAATATACAGTGAATGCAAATTATTTTCAAGATGAGGCTTCAAAATGAACTTTGTTAACCTCTATTTTTCTAATGAGAACCTTCCCTTCAAAAAGTTATTTACTTGGGCACATTCAGAACAATGTTTAAGAAGCCACTTGGAGCATCTTCCTGTTTTGGAGAGCCTGGCTTAGAATTTCAGCTCTGTTTCCAATTCCAGCTTCCTGATAATGTATACCTTGGAATACAGCAGGTGATGGCACAAGTAATTGGATCCTTGTTACCCATATGGGAGGTCTGGATTGTATTCCAGGCTCATGGCTCCAGTCTGGCCCAACCCTAGCTGTTTTGGACATAAAAGTGAAGCAGTGGATAGAAGATCTCGCTCTTGTCTCTGCATTTCTCTGTTTCTCTGCATTTCAAAAAAAAAAAATGTTTATTTGCTAACTTGAATGTGTCAACTTTTGTGGAAACAGTTTAAGTAGGCCAAAAATTATAAAAATTTTACAATTTGTTATGTAACAGTATATACTATGTTACATCATGAATAAAATGCTGCTTTTCTTTCCATTTCTGTATTACATGAAATGGTTTTTCTAGTTGTTCGCATAAATCCTCAATATCAGTGATCTTGTCATTTATTTTAAGTAGAAAAACCATTATTCCTCAAGAGTGTAGACAAAGGCAACAATAATCATCAGATCTCAAAATTTCATTTTCACTCATATACATTGCTTTTTTGTAGTCTGATATTACTTAACACAATCAGGGAAAACATATTTCTCTTTTTGGGACTTGCGTAGTTCCCTAAACATAATGTTCTGAAATTGCATCCATTTTGTTGCAAGAGACGGGATTTCATTTGTTCTTACAGCTGAGTAGCATTACATCATGTATTTGTGAGCAAAATTTTCTTTAGTCATCAGTTGATGAACATCTGGGATGATTCCATCTTAGCTATGGTGAATTGAGCTGCTAGAAACATGAGTACAAATCACTCTTCAATATGCTGATTTCATTTCCTTTAGATTAAATTCTCAAGAGTGGGCTAGCTGGGTCATATAGTAGATCTATTTTCAGATTTCTGACGAATCTCCATTCTGTTATCTATTATGGTTTTACTAGCTTACATTCCAACCACTAGTGAATTAGGGTACTTTATCCCCTCATTCTCATCAGCATTAGTTAATTTTTTTTATATTTGGATAATAGCCATTTTAATTGGGGTTAAGGTAAAACCTCATTGTGGTGAGTGTTGACCATTTGCATTTCATCCTTTGAAAAATGGCTGTTCATGTCCTTAGCCCACTGGATTGCTTGTTTTGTTGGTGTTGAGTTTCTTGAGCTCTCTATATATCCGGGATATTAATCCTTTATCAGATGTATAGTTTGCAACTATTTTCTCCCAGGCTGTCAGCTGCCTCTTTACATTGCTGAGTGTTTCTTTTGCAGTGCAGAAGCTTCTTAGCTTGATGTAATACCACTTGTCTATTGTTGCCTGAATTTCCTGGGATTTTTATTAAGAAGTTTTTGCCTATACCAATGTCTTACAGTGTTTCCACTATGTTTTCCTCTAGTAATTTGATGGTTTCGGGTCTTATATTTAGATCTCTGATCCATTGTGAGTTGATTTTTATATAGGAATTAAGATAAGGTTCTTGTCTCATTCTTCTGCATGTGGAGATCCACCAGCACCATTTGTTGAAGAGACTGTCCTTTCTCCAGAAATTGATTTGCCACTACTTAGTCAAAGATTAGTTGGTTGTAGACATGTGGATTAATTTCTAGGGTCTGTATTCCAATGGGTCCAAATTTTTGTGCCAGTATCAGGCTATTTTGATTATAACTCCCCTATAGTATGTCTTGAAATACAGTATTGTGATGTCTCCAGCTTTATTTGCTTTGTTTTTATTGTTTAGGATTGCTTTAGCTATTTGGGGTCTCTTGTGATTGTGATTCTATGGGATTTTTAAAAAGCTATTTACTTATTTAAGAGGTAGAGCCTCAGAGAGAGGGAGAGACAGAGAGAAAGATCTTCCATCTTCTTGTTCACTCCCCAAATGGCAGCAATAGCCAGGGTGGGGCCTATTCGAAGCCAGGAGTCAGGAGTTTCCTCAGAGTCTTCCACATGGTTTTAAGGGCCCAAGCACTTGAGCCATCCTTTACTGCTCTTCTGGGCCATAGAAAAGAGCTGGATCGGATGAGGAGCAGCTGGGACATGAACCAGTGCCCATATGGGATGCCAGTGCTGCAGGTAAAGGTTCAGCCTACTATGCCACAGGGCCAGCCCCTCTATGTGAATTTTAGGACCATTTTTTTCCAGATCTGAGAACATCTTGGTATTTTGATTGGGATTACATTGAATTTGTAAGTTGCTTTGGGTACTATGGATAGTTTAGTTATATTCATTTATATGTTTAGTTATATTAATTCTTTCAATCCATGAACATGATTGCTTTTTCATTTTTTGTTTCTTCTGTATCTGTACTTAATGTTTTGTAATTTTACTTGTAGAGATTTTTATGTGTTTGATTAAATTTATCCCAAGATATTTAAAGTTTGTTGTGCCTATTGTGAGTGGTTCTGTTCATACAAATTCTTTCTAAGCCAATGCATTGTATATACAAAGACTACTGATTTTTGCATGTTGATTTTATATCCTTCAACTTCATAAAAACTTTCAGGAGTTCCAATAATCTCATAGCAGAGTCTTTTGGTTCCCCTATGTATAGAATCATTTCATCTTCAAACAGGGATAATTTTACTTTTCTTTCTCATTTATATCCCTTTGATTTCTTTTTCTTGTCTAATGGCTCTGTTTAAGACTTTCAGAACTTACTGAATACTAATGATTTGAGTGTGTATTCTTGTGTGGTTCTGGATCTCAGTGGAAATGCTTCCAGTTTTCCCTCATTCAATATGATCTTGGCTGTAGGTTTGTCATGTTTTGCTTTGATTGTATTGAGGAATGTTCCTTCTATACCAAATTTGCCTGAGATTTTTATCATGAATCATGTATTTTCTTAAAAGCTTTCTCTGCTTCTACTGATACAATATTTTTAATTCAATTTGTTAATATGATATATTTATTGATTTGCAGACTTTGAACCATTTATCTCTATATTCCAGGGGTAAATCTAACTTGGTATTTGTGAATGATCTTCCTGATGTATTAGCTGGTATTTTTGAGGATTTCTGCATCTATATTCATCTGTAGTTCTCTTTCTTGCATCTTTCTCTGATTTTGGAATTAAGTTGATGTTGGCCTTATAGAAGGAGTTTGGGAGGATTCCCTCCGTTTCCACTGTTTTGGGAGTTTAAGGATACTTGGGATTAGTAGTTCTTTAACGGTTTATTAGAATTCAGGGCTGAAGCCATCCTGGCCTACTCTTTTCATTGTTGGAGAGTTCTTTACTGATTCAATCTCCATCTTTGTTATTGGTCTATTTAGGTTTCCTATGTCTTTATCACTCAGTTTTGATAAATTGTATGTGTCCAGAATCTACTGATTTCTTCTTTGTTTTCCAGTCTGTTGGCATGTAGCTGTTTACAGTAATTCCTGATGATTCTTTTTATTTCTGTGGTATCTGTTATGTTTCCTTTTTTTGTTACTACTATTAAGATTTGGGTTTCCTCTTTTTTTCTTTTTTTTTTGGGGGGGAGGGTTGGGCTAATGGTGTATCAATTTTCATTATGTTTTCAAAAAACTAGCTTTTTGTTTCATTGATCTTTTGTGTTTTTTTCTTTCACTTTTGTTCTCTAATTTTAATTATTTCTTTCCTCCTAATTTTGGGTTTGGTTCATTCTTGTTTTTCTAGGTCTTTGAGATTTATTTTAGATCATTTATTTGATGCTGTTCCAATTTTCTGATGTAGGCATTAGTAGCTGTAAACTTTACTGTTAACACTGCTTTTTGCTTTATCCTATAAGTTTTGATATGATGTGTTGTCATCTTCATTAGTTTCCAGGATTTTTTTTTTGTTTTTCCTTTTGATTTCTTCCATGACCTATATCCATTATGAGTGTCATTCATTCTCTACATGTTTGCAAATTTGCTAGAGTTTCTTGTTATTTCCACCTTAATTCTGCTGTGGTCAAAAAAGGCACATGGTATAATTTTTTTTTTTTTTGAATTTGTGGAAATTTGTTTTATGGCCTAGCATATGGTCTATCCTAAAGAAAGTTTCATGCACTGATAAAAAGAATGTGTATCTGCAGCTGTGGGATGAAATGTCTATAGGAATCAAGTAGGTCCATTTAGTCAAGTGTAGATTAGCTCTTGTTTCTTTGCTATTTTTTGCCTAGTGATCTGTCCATTTTAGAAAGTGGGGTACTGAAATTCCCTATTATTGGATTGAAGCCTATGTCTCTATAGATCCATTAAAATTTGTTTTAAATAGCCAGGTGACTTAGCTTTAGGTACATTTACATTTATTGTATTCACATCTTCCTGTTGAGTTGATCCCTTAATCATTGTAGAATGCCTTTCTTTGTCTCTTTTAACATTGTCTTAAAGCCTGTATTGTCTGATAGTAGGATGGCTATTCCTGCTCAGTTTTACTTCCTTACAGCATGAAACATTTTTTTTTCATCTTTTGACTTTCATTGATGAACTGTGTTTCTTTCAGGCAGAAAATATATGGGTCTTATTTTTTAATCCATTCAGCCATTCTGTATCTCTTAATTGAAGAATGTAGGCCAATTGCATCCAAGGTTATTATTGATAGGTAATGACTTTGTCCTGCCATTTTTCATAAATATTTCTATTGATTCTTTTCTCTTCCCTTTGTACTTTTTAGATGTTTTGATTTCTCATGGTTTTAATGATGATGACTTTCTTCCTCTGTTTCTGTGCATAGCATATCCTTAAGTATCATTCATAAAGCTGGACGAGTGTTGACAAATTCTTTCAATTTCTATTTGTTTTGGAAAGTCTTTATTTCACCTTCATTTATAAGTGAGGACTTTGGTGGGCACAATATTCTGGGTTGACAGGTTTTTGTTTTAGGACTTGGACTGTGTCTATTCTCTCCTAATCTATAGGGTTTCTGATGAGAAATCAGCTGTCAATCTAATGGAGATCATTTGAAGGTAATCTGATGTTTCTCCTGTGTGAATTTTAGGACCTTTTATTTTTTACAATTTTATTCCTGTCTTTTTTTTTTAATGTCAGAGTTACACAGAGAGAGGAGAGGCAGAGAGAGAGAGAGAGAGAGAGAGGTCTTCCATCGGATGGTTCACTCCCCAATTGGCCGCAATGGCTTAGCTTTGCCGATCCAAAGCCAGGAGCCAGGAGCTTCTTCTGGGTCTCCCATGTGGGTGCAGGGGCCCAACTGCTTGGGCCAGCTTCTACTGCTTTCCCAGGTTATAGCAGAGAACTGGATTGGAAGTTGAGCAGCTGGGTCTCTAACCAGTGCCCATATTGGATGCTGGCACCTCAAGCCATGGCGTTAACTCACTGCACCACAGCACCGGCCCCAGAACCTTATCTTTATGTTTTACTTTTGATATATTGACTACAATGTGTTGTGGTTAAGATCTTTTCTAATTGTGTCTATTAGGAGTTGTATGTTCTTCCTGTACTTGGATGTCCATATCTTTATCCAAACTAGGAAGGGTTCTGATATATCACTAATTGGTCTTCTATTCTAGTCTGGTTCTCCACACCCTCAGAAACTCCTAAGAAATCTATATTTGGTCATTTGATAGTATCTCATAAATCTTGAACACTATTTTCAGTTTGTATAAATTTTCTTTTTTTTGTCTGAGATATTCCAAATATTTATCTTCTAACTCAGATATTCTTTCTTTTGCCTCACCAAGTCTGCAGTTAAAGCTCTCCACTGTGTTTTAATTTGATATATAAAATACTTCATTTCTAATATTTCAGTTTAATTTCACTTCAATATCTATCTCCCAGCAGAGTTTCTCATCTATGTAATCTATGGATTTCTTTAACCCATGTATTTGCTTCTCCGTGTTTTTGAGTAATCTTATGATCATTCTTTTGAATTCATTTTCAGGTATTTCATCAATGTCTTCATCTTCACATTCTAATATTGAAGTGTTGTTGCATTCTTTTGGAGGAGTCATATTGTCTTCCTTGTGCATGTTTGCTGTATTTCTGTTTGTTTTTAGGCATCTGTGGAAATACTTGGTTTTCTCCTCTGAGGGCTTTTATCTTTGAAATACCTCTCTATGGCTTAGTATGTGCTCCTTCAATGGATATCCAGAGCTGTGTGCTGGGTGGGGCCAGGGAGCTGGGGAGAGAGAGTCCAAAAGGGTACACAGGTTGAGAATGGTAGATCTCCTCTATTGTCAGCAGGATGGGAATGTGCATGTTGATTGGCATGAATATAGCATCAGCCCTTTTCTGCCAGGGTAAGCCAGCTGCTCATGGTAAGCCCACAGTGCCTATGCACCCCCACCCACACAGGTGGATGCAATGCACAAAGGATCTCTGTGCTCCTCAGAGAACATAGAGCCTTTCTTAATCACCGACCCCAGCTCTGAGGGCACTCTCACTTCTGAAGCCACAGTGATTATCCGAAGACTAAGTCACACCCCACACGCTATTGCATGTTGCATGATTCCCACAGTCACAGGGAGTAGGGGATCTACTCTCAGCCCTGTGAGTCTCTCTGTCCATGGGAAAAGCCATGGCATTCTTGGAGCAAGCTACCTTCCTGACAGAGGTTGCTAAGTGCTCTGCCTTGGCAAGCTGAGTCCATCTCCTTCAGAGAGGGAGGGGAGGGGAGCAACCTGTCCTTGCTTCATGGACCTGAATGGGCACCACCCCATCCTCTGCCAACACTACAGGATAGACTCAAAGTCAGTGGGAACTGTGAAATTTATCCCTCCAGATCCTTCAGTCACTTGCACCCTGTAGCAACCTTCACTCACCTATTATAATGGAGCTTCCTCCCTTCTGATCACAGGCACCTTGGTGGAGGGAGGAGAGGAAAGCAATGAGGTCTCCCTTCATGGGGTTAGGTGGACATCCTGTTCCCTGCTAGTGCTCTGGGATTTATTCAAAGTCAATGGGGACAGTGGGGTTCTCCCTCAGGCATTACCATCAATAGCTTAGGCTGCTGCAGGTCCTTCTCACCTCACTCCAAGAAGATTGTGTCTCCCCAGCCACCAGTTGCAGGAGTCACCTGTGGTGTCCTGCTCACTGCTGCATGGGTCTACAGTCCCTGCTGCTCCATGGTGTGTCTCTTCATTCTGTAGATTTTCTACTGCAAATTTCTCTCCGGCTGTCCACTGGGAATGCAGTTTCTCCATTGTTCTTCTGGTATCTTCCTGTATTCATAATCAGCAAGTCTTTTGCCTATTCAGTCATCTTGGATCTCTGCTCTTATCATTTCTGAAATCACCTGTGAGCCATGTAACTAATTCTAAAACATATGATCATTGTTTCTTTTAAATCATACGCACATTTTAAATCCTACATTGCTAATTCTTAGAAATTATACCTCAAATCAAAAGGAACCTTTACAAAATGTTTTCACATTTATTGCCTTTAAAGTGGGCATTTTAAATGTTTATTATGTTTGACACTTGATGCACTGTTATCCTGTATATAATTACTCAATTTGTTTAGTGGGCTGGTGTTGTGGCATAGTGAGTAAAGCCACCACCTGGGATGCTGGCATCCCATATGGGAGCCAATTTGTGTCCCAGCTGCTCCACTTCAAATCCAGTTCTCTGCTAATGGAGGGAAAGCAGCAGGACAGCCCAAGTGCTTGGGCCTTTGTCACTCACATTGGAGACCCTAATGAAGCTCCTGGCTGTGGTTTGACTCTATACTGGCTGTTGTGGCCACTTGGGGAGTGAACCAGAGGATAAATCTTCACTGCCATTCTGTAACCCTGACTTAAATAAACAAGTAAATCTTTAAAAAATAAATTTGTATAAATTTATTTGCCAAATTTTTCCTGGTTTGATAGGTAAATACCTATAAATGTCAAAACCATAATGACTGAGCTATTTTCAGTTTGTCTTTCCCTCAGAGTACTTCATTTTTCAAAGTATGCGGTACACAGAGAATGCTCACAATGAAGAGCTATCTAAGGAGTCGAATATAAAGCTCTCCTTTTCTCCAGCAAAATTTGCAGGGGACAGTGAGTGGCTAATCAGCATTTGGCCAGGTATCTTTCATATGTAATTCAGTGTCACAACTCTGAGCATTTTTATATCAGTCACTCACCCCAATTCTAAAATTTACATTTTATTTGTATTTTATTAACTAAAGAGAATGACTGAGTGGAGCATCTAGGATACCTGAAGAATGAATGTTGGGATTGCTTAAATGAAAACATGTACTACTTTCCTAAAAATGTGTTGTTAAAATGTCTCATCTTTTTGGGTCAGACATATATCAATCAGACTGTTAGTTTCTCCTACCCCAGAACTTTCTCTTTTGCGACTAGGACAGTGTTTTCTGGCATAAAACTATATTTCAAAACTTGAATTACTATAATGCAATGAGTGCTGATAATTTTATTACATTTGGTTTTGATTTTTCCAGATGTGGATGTGGATAAGCCTGATGAGAAGTCTATTATGACCTATGTGGCCCAGTTTCTGAAACATTATCCTGACATCCACAGTGGAGGCATTGATGGGCTGGAGAATGAGGTTGGTCCTTGTTTGCATCAAGTATAGATAGTCCTCAATGATGCTAACTCAGTTTTAAATATTTTGTTGTTAATAAGTTGGTATGCATTTTAATATTGGTTGAATAAGGACTAGCTATCTTCAGATGGGGGATGTGATTGTATGATAGATAATCCTTGGAGCACTAAATGATAAGTGTTAGATTTGTGATGCTGATAAATAAAACTGATCAAAGATAGAAGTGTTTGGACCTCCATGTTAGTAATTTCAGAATTGAAAACAGTTTCACATCGATCACATCATTGCACATCTAAAGCCTAAGTCCCCAAGCTTCATTGATTTGATGAAATCTAATTTTGGCTTTTAGATTTTATTGTATATATTCACAGCAAGCCTATAGAACTAAGGCATAACTTGTAAAAGCTCTTATTGTTGACAGTGTTAAATTTTTCAGATTTTCACATTGCTCAAATGATGTATATACATTATCATAATTTTTTAAACTTTGGAGGGGGGAAAGAAAAAGGAATATTATCTGTATTTGACATTCTAGAGAAGAACTATCCCAGAGAAAAATCAGGATTTTTCTTCTCATCCAGTTAGAATCATAGTACCCATATAATTTTATAATCATCTTTTTACATTAATATTATAAAGAGCTATGCAGGTCATATGTTTGTACAATAATTTATCCAATACTAATGAATGGAAAATTCAGATTTTTTTTCTATTTTGAATGATTTTATGAATAAAGCTAAAGATTCATTCTTTGAAGCAGATTTCCTAGGCTAAAGGGCATGTGGAATTTAGTGCTTCCTAAATGCTTTACAGATTTCTCTGTAGAATGTTATCCTGGTGTACATTCTTTTTTTTTTTTTTTTTAAACTTTTATTTAATGAATATAAATTTCCAAAGTACAGCTTATGGATTACAATGGCTTGCCCCCCATAACGTCCCTCCCACCTGCAACCCTCCCCTTTCCCACTCCCTTTCCCCTTCCATTCACATCAAGATTCATTTTCGATTCTCTTTATATACAGAAGATCAGTTTAGCATACATTAAGTAAAGATTTCAACAGTTTGCTCCCACACAGAAACATAAAGTGAAAAATACTATTTGAGTACTAGTTATAGCATTAAATCTCAATGTACAGCCCACTAAGGACAAAGATCCTACATGAGGAGTAAGTACACAGTGACTCCTGTTGTTGACTTAACAAATTGACACTCTTGTTTATGGCATCAGTAATCACCCTAGGCTCTTGTCATGAGTTTCCAAGGCTATGGAAGCCCCCTGAGTTCACTGTCTCTGATAATATTTAGACAAGGCCATGGTCAAAGTGGAAGTTCTCTCCTCCCTTCAGAGAAAGGTACCTCCTTCTTTGATGACCCGTTCTTTCCACTGGGATCTCACTCGTGGAGATCTTTCATTTTTTTTTTCCCCAGAGTGTCTTGGCTTTCCATGCCTGAAATACTCTCATGGGCTTTTCAGCTGGATCCGCATGCCTTAAGGGCTGATTCTGAGGCCAGAGTGCTGTTTAGGACATCTGCCATTCTATGGGTCTGCTGTGTATCTCACTTCCCATGTTGGATCATTCTCTCCCTTTTTGATTCTATCAGCTAGTATTTGCAGACACTATTCTTGTTTATGTGATCCCTTTGGTTCTTAGTCCTATCATTATGATCAATTGTGCACAGAAATTGATCACTGGGACTAGTGAGATGGCATTGGTACATGCCACCTTGATGGGATTGAATTGGAATCCCCTGGTATGTTTCTAACTCTACCGTTTGAGGTAAGTCAGCTTGAGCATGTCCCGAATTGCACATCTCTTCTAATGAAGAACTGGATTAAGGATTCCTCTGGGTTGCCTTTAGAAATCTCTCTTTTTTTTAAATAATAGGTAATATCCAACAATTTTATGTAGTACAAGCAAGTGGTGTACATTCTAAAGAGGATACCAGAATGCCCTTTTTCCTTGTGTATAACAACAAAAGACATGACCAGTCTCCAAACATTGTTGAAGCTGTATTTTTTTTCATTATTAAGTGGTAAATTCACTGCTGATTTAAAATTAAGTATATGGCAAAATGACAACAAAGAAAATGTTAAATAGAACTTTCAGGATGTGTTAAACATTGTCTTCATTGCTCAGATCTCCATTGGAGTTTTCAGTGTAGAATGAGATTATGATGAAGGACAAGAAAAACAGAAAATTTCAAAAGATGTATTTTTTAAATAGACTTAGAAATAAGTCTAAGGAAAGAAAAGATCAGGAGAGCATTACCCAAAGCTTTTAAGCAGGACCAAGTATTACACTAACGATTAGAAACTAAGGATTCACAAAAGAAGGAGAACAGTAACTGGTGACTCTTGGGTCCCTTGGGTGAGATGCTTTTATATTGCCCAACTGAATTTGTATATGATTTGGTTTCTGAGGTTTTGCTGTTTTAATTGTCCTAATATTAATAATGAATGAACTTTGTGATGAGTAACATCTGAGAAACAGGAGATGTTTAGTTAATGCTCATGAGCAGAAATTTAATGCAAACATTTTCATATATGTGCAGCACACATATTCCTGATAGAAGTCTGTTAATATATACAATTAAAGATACTTTACTTTTAAGAAATTAATTACCTGAAGGAAACATTCTGGCTACTTTTTTTGTAAATTCTCCATATTCATTTCCTAAAAAGAGGATGCACGTGATTTATTCAGGGTTATTTCAAAAATTAGTTTTGAAGAATATAAATATTGCCATTTTATATGGTAATTGTACTATAAAGCATAAGCACCTAAAACATTTCTATAATGTAAATTTTTTTTTACTTAGTTTATATTTGCTTATTGCAGTTAATGGTCACCAAATTCTACCTACCACAAATTGAAGATTTTATAGCCTACATGGATTGGAGTGGCTGAAACATTTAGACAAGTCTTAATTGCTATTCATGTTTTAAAACTTGACAACATATCCAGCAGGCTTCCATTTTTGTGGATTTGATTTCTATATCTTCTTTATGATTGTATTTAAATACTTTATGAATACCCTTTTAAATATACTTTTTTTTACTGGAAGTAGGCATTACTATGCCTTTTTCACTTCAACCAATAATACTAATAAATTTTTTCCTGAAGATAATGATTGGGTAATTAGACATATATATATTACAATATTTGTATTAGAACTTAATTTTTATATTAGAACTTACTTATATTAGAATAAATAAAATGTATCTATTTGCTATCTCTTCCAATGTTAAACTTTCAGTTTTTTTTCACACGTGGACTTTTGCACTGCACAGTATTGTCTTAACTGTGCTAAAGACAGACAAATGTATTTGTTAGTGTACTTAGGAGGAAAAATTGGAGCCCATGTTATCTCTTTTATTACCCAGAACTCATTTTAAAATGTTGAATGTTATTTCAAGACATTCACAAAAATATATATGTTGCCACATATGATTATTTATTTATTTGCCAAGTAACTCTTGACTTACTGGAATTGAAAATTTTTATATTTTCAAAAGTTACGAAAATATTTTGGGTAAATATACCTTTAAAATTATTGCATGTTTTTCTCTAGACAGATGCCCCCAAAGTTATTTTTTCTTCTTAGCCATATATAATTTTTATCCTTGATTTATGTTATGTTTCTATATATTATCTCTCATATTGTTAGGAAATATTTCCAGGTTTCCCATCTTTTGCAAATTGTATTCAAAAATTTAAGGTAAGATTTAACTAATGAATTAGTGACCTCTTGCATTCTGTAGTCTATTAGCAATTTCTTTGCATGCATTTTTCTTTATGTATGTATTTCTTTTAATACCTTAATCACGTTAGTCTCTTTTTTAGCAGAACAGATAACATACATCTGTTACAAATGCTAGTGGCAATCTGACCCTCTCCCATAGATTTGCTTACTAATCTTTGTGAGATGTTATCTTTTAATTTATTTTTAATAACACATAATAGCACTAATAGCCAAAAGAATTTACCATTAATTGCAGTTTGGTTTCTGTAAAGGTAAGATGGAAAATAAAAATAAAGTGAAAAGTTCATTTTTATATCTTAAAATATTAAGTGGGAAATCATTGCAGAAGGTTAGTCTTCCTTTAGCTCATCAGTCTGTGTTTCCTGATGCCTCTTGTGCTCCATGATGAGTCATGTGGTTTAGTAAAGTTCACGACATAATAGGTGCTCAAGTATACTTGTGGAATGAATGATTACAAATTCTTCTGTCCAAGCAAGACATTGAGTGCTTATCTTCTACTTTAGCTTTTCAATTTTTCATGTTCCCTCTAGGTCTGAGGTAAAAGATTCATCAATACAACAGACCTTATGCTAATGTTAGAACATAAAAACAGAAGTAACTAATTTCATATCAAATACTAAATAAATTTTTATTTCATTCTCCATGATATGAGTTCATGTATGTAGAAACATAATACAGAAAGCAGCACTGTGCCCATATATGTAAATGAGAGAGAGAAGAGGAGGGGAGAGAATGATGGTGAAAAGACAAACACAAGGAGAGAGAAGGTTGACAGTTTCGATCTTTGGAATAAAGCTGGTCTTCTACAGGCACATGGACCCCCACGTCTTGAACACATGCGAAAGTCGCCTGTTAAAGGAAAGTCACCTGATGAATGGGTTCTCGGACTTTCAATATTATTTTGTACTTTATTTCCCTCTTAGAGAGGAGAATGTTGAAAGCATAAGTAGCTCCATCCTTACCTTTTGCAATTTACTTGAAAATTTCCCACCACTGGAAAAGTTATTTACTAAATTAACTCTAATAAAATAACTTTTTAAAAGGATTTATTTATTTGAAGGAGACACAAAAAATCTTCCATCTGCTGGTTCATTCCCCAGATGGGACCAATGGCCAAGGCTGGGCCAGGCTGAAGCCAGGAACCAGGAACTCCATCCAGGTCTCCCACGTGCGTTCAGGGGCCCAAGCCCTGGGCCATCCTTTGCTGCTTTTCCAGGTACTTTAGCAGGGAGGTGGATCAGAAGTGAAGTTGCCAAGATGTGAACTGGCACCCAAGTCAGATGCCAGCATCACACACAGCGACTTTACCCACTATGCCACAGTGCTGGCCCCTAAAACTTATTCATTGATTTGAAAGAATATAAACTTTTCTTCACAGATAACTTGTTGTTAAATCATTTTAATTCACCACGAAGAGCTCCTCTTTAGGATAATCTCATTTTATCTCATTTATGTAGCATTTTATGTAGCATTTTATGTCCAAGAGTTAATAAATCTTCCTAGGAGGCTGATGGTGAGGTCCCTTGCAATGTGGGCCACTGAGAATACTCACTCAAGGTACCTCTGATACCTTGGAGGTAGACTTGGTACCCTGGACACTGGGAACACCTTTTGCTCTGAGGTCATGAGAATCTGTGCCGTTTGGGGAACTAAAAGTCAACTGGTGCTAAAACATGTGCCTTGATTACTTCACCTATTCATTCAAAAGAGTCATGCGGGAGGCTGGTATTGTGGTGCAGCAGGTTAAGCCACTGCCTATGATGCCAGCATCCTATATGGGCACTAGTTCAAGATCAAGCTCTCTGCTAATGTGACTGGAAAAACAGCAGAAGATGGCCCAGAATTGAGCCCCTGCCATCCACACTGGAAACCTGGATGGTGTTGTGGCATTTTGGGGAGTGAACCAGTGGATGAGAGATCTATATCTCTCCCTCTCCCTCTCCCTGTCTGTCCTTCTCTCTCTGTCATCTAAATCATTCTTTAAAAAATAAAAAGCAGAAAAGTCATGGGAAATCCTGGGCTCTAGTTCCATTTCTTTCCCTTACTATGTTACCAATTAATCATTATTCCACAATGATACTGAGTGATCCTGAGTATCACACAATGTTAGAGGCTGGAGCTAGAAAGACTTATATGGAGTTTGTAACCTGGAAGGAGAGGAGGCAATTTAAGGGGGCTTCTTAATGTTTGTTACAAGACGATGAGAAAAAACTTACAATCCATAGCTTTAAGCTATTTGCCAGTTCCAAAAAAAAAAATGGTGGAATGTATTTATGATTATCTGACCTACTTAGAAGACAGGGTCTTGGTGAAACATTGGGTTATATTCACTAAATCAGTGCTGTAATGGCTCCTATTTTTTGAAAACATGTATGTCAATTTCAATTTTGTTTCTCATTTTTGAGATGTGAGTGATGGCCTGGATGCCTTCACTTAGTAGATAATTTGGTAGATCTCTTATGGGGATGATGTTGCCAGGGTCTGGAAAACCACATTGAACAAGATATATGTGTTTTCTGTCCACATGTAACTTGTTAGAATATTAAATATTATATTAAAATAATAGTGTAGATAGTCTACAATATTATGACTGTAGCTTCTTGAATTTAGTCAAAATTAATCCCATCCAGAACAGACCCCTGAGTCACTGATGGCTTTGGGGTAGGAAGCACCTCACAGGTCTGTTTTCATTCCATCTATTGCTCTTTCTGTGTATGTTTATACTTGGGACATTCTTGAGTATATTTTCTTTGCTAAATTTGTACTACTTACGGGGGGAGATAGAAGTGATAATTTTGGTATTCAAAAACATAACTAAGCTGTTTTTCTGTAGTTATTTTTGCATATTACTCTCCAAAAGGCATGGTGCAAAGAAAAAAATCAGAAACATCTGGGACTTGTTTACTCTAGGATCACTCAAATGTTGATCAAGCAAGGAAATAAATGCACAATTACATAATAAAATGATGATGTCTCCTGGTTTCCAGAGAGAAGACAGGCTACTTTTGAAGGAAATGAAAGTTTGGGTAGAACAATTTGAAAGAGATTTGACAAGGGCACAGATGACAGAATCAAATTTGCAGGACAAATATCAGGTAAGTATGAAAAAGATTTCAATTTTTCAAAAGATTTTCATGAAGACAACTGATGTCTGTCATTCAATCTGTTTAGTCTCAAATTACATCAGTGAGAAAAGTCTTTAAAGAAATATGCATCATCTTAAGTTTGCATTTGACTTAATAGCTGCATTACTATATAAATAGGAAGTTTGAAGTCACATTTTGTTCACACTGCATATGGAGCTCTGAGCTTCCTGCCTTTTCCAGAACTCAGGAGAAATAGGGAGTCATTGCTTTTGTAGAACTCATGCTCATGTGTTAGTTTTCATCTAACTCGAAATTCACCCAAAAGAAAAGACTTGCACCAAATTGTAAAGTACTAAAACAAGTGAATGTAATAAAGTTTTGCAAAATGACTATTTAAAGTAGGCATGTGTGGAGATAATTTCTCCTATGACCTCATAGATCAACACTATTGTCATCAAGTTGAGGTCAGAGTAGTGGCTTTCTGCAATTCATTAATTGGATTTCTGCTTTCCATATCCACTTCCAAGACTTAGTCATACAACATATTTTTCCCATTAAACTGAATGATTTATTCTATGTGGTCTGCTAGTCTCCATAACTTCATTTTGCTGAGAAAACTAAGTATAGTCTTTGTGTATTCTATAGAATATTATAATCTACATTTTATTTTATCACTCTGATACAAAAAAGGGTCCAATGATGTAAGAGATTCAAGATGGCAGACAATAAAGAGTTATCTACAGTATTAGTATTTGTGAGATAATCATATGTATAAAATATGCCTGAATTTAGATGGATGATACCATCAATATTTTTGTTAAATCAGCAAAGCAGTAGAAACTCAAAAGTGATATTTTTCCCCAAATTAAAAATTTCTGGGATGAGTTCCGTTTAAAAAGCAAAAAAAGATCAAGTTAGTAAATTGAAAACAGAAATGAACAAATAAAGTGAATATACTTATTTCATCCATTGGTGAGTTTTAGTTTTAGCTTAAGTGATCAAGGATTCAAGGTTACATGCTGTACAAATGATATTAAATAAGGAATAAACCAAGGACTAGAAAACTGTAAAACAGAAATATACCCTTCAGTTCAAGGATGATCACTAGTCTCTTAAAAATGGGCCTGGTGACTATCCTATCTGAAATCTGAATATTAGGAACATTGCCTTCATCTCTGTATTAGGCATTCAATATATTTCAATTTATAAATGTTGTATTTTCCAGTTTACGCATAGGGATCTGTGGAATGAAAGTAAAGATCAATTTTATATTTGGATATTTGTAAAATTTTATTCAGATAGAGGGAATGGAAAGAAAACGTTTGTAAAAATTTTTACTCACCATCTCCCCCCAGTGTTCTTCATGTGAATGTGCATCTTCATTCACAATTTTGTAACTCATACGGGCGTGCTATCTGCTAGATTCTGTAGAGCTGTTCTCTTGTCCCAATTTGTAATTTTACATTAAAATCTGATTTTTAATTCACATTTGAACTTTGAGTCACGTTTTAGACTATATTAATATAAAATGTAGGGTTTTAGCTCCTTTTAATGTTACCATTGTGGTTATGTCTATGTAATATAGATTTATTTCAAGTATATTTTAGCATATTTTAATGTTTTAAAATTAAAGCAAATGATTATTATGTAAATTAATTCCACTAATGTAAACTTATTTACACAGGATTACTTAAACACAAATTGAGGTATTTTTTAAAAAAAATATATTTATTTATTTGAAAGGCAGAGAGTCAAGACAGAGATGGTCAGAAAGTGCCACAGCAGCAGAGGCCAGGCCAGGCTGACACCAGGAGTTTGGACCTCAGTCTGGGCTTCACATGAGTGACAGGACCCAAGTTCTTGAGCCATCACCTGCTACGCCTCAGGGTGCTCATTCTGATACCAGGAAACTGGAATCCTAAATAAAGTAGAAATTCTAACTCTGGCACTCTGATAAAGGAAGTAGATGTCCTAAGTAAGATCTTAAGGTTGTGTCAGACATCCACCCAAAATTTAGTTATGTTTAACTCAGCTTTATTTTGATATTTCTAAGTTCTATGGTAGTGTGAGATAAAGTTAGTACTGCAATTATTAGTAGAGATTTATCTCCTGTTTACTATATTTCCTGAAAACATGGACTGGTGTGTAAATTATTTAACTCACATTGAAAAATCCTAGGTGTTAGTCTTGCATCCATTATTTGTCCTTGCCAAGTCACTTATAGGTTACAAAATCAACACATTTCCATGCTGTAGGGTTACACAGTGAACCAGAGAGGATACTATGTAGAAAGCACTTAACACAGGGTCAATCTCAAACTGCAGGCCTGATAAATGGTAACTTCTACTGGTATCTTGACTGCCATTAGTTTTTTTAAAAAGATTTATTTATTTATTTATTTGAAAGAGTTGCACACAGAGAGAAGGAGAGGTAGAGAGAGAGGTTTTCTATCTGCTGGTTCACTCTCCAATTAGCCACAACGGCCGGAACTGCACCAATCCAGAGCCAGGAGCTTCTTCCTGGTCTCCCTTGCAGGTACACAGGCTCAAGCGTTTGGACCATCTACTGCTGCTCTCCTAGGCCATAGCAGAGAGCTGGATTGGAAGTGGAGTGGCCAGGACTAAAACTGGCACTCATATGGGATGCCGACACTGCAGGCGCAGTTTTACCCATTATGCAACAGTGCCAGCCCCCTGCCATTAATTTTACTAACAACATTGATAACTTTTTATTGAGTGTTATCCAAATATAATGGGTTGTTATTTAGGAAATGTGATTTCCTTTGCTTTTGCTTTTTTTGACTCACTGCCATATTGTTGCTATTTTTCCTCTTCTAGTCCTTTAAGCACTTCAGAGTTCAATATGAAATAAAAAGGAAACAGATTGAGCATTTAATCCAACCAATACACAGAGACAGCAAATTGTCACTTGACCAAGCATTGCTAAAACAATCCTGGGACAGAGTGTCCTCCAGGGTAAGTACCGCTACAATTAATTTTATTAGGGCTTGCAAAATTTAGTCAAGCACATAATGTTTATCATCTTTTTCTAAATGATGATATTGCATCAGGGCCTGCTGCTTCTGGGGTTGGAAAGGCTTACTTTTGGGACAATCTTTGTCCTCTTGTCAAATCTTCCTGTAAGTTAGTGGAAGTGCTTGGTTTGCCAGCTATCTTCCTGCCTTGCCTATCCAACATGTATTATCAGCCGTTACTAGAGAGGGGAATATCTGGCTCCTGGGCCATATGAGGTAAGTAAAATTATTTGGGCTGGCACTGCCAAGGCAACCACAGACAGGAATTGAAATTCAATAAATCAATAACAAGCTAATTTTTAAGCTGATAATTTTGTATGGCCTTTCAATGATGTTGTAAAAGTCCAGTCGTTGGCAGAAAAAAAGGTTCCGCACCTCTGGTAGGCAATAGATTGAAATCACAAAAGACCATGTATATTACTTTATATTTATATACCTTAATTCTGAGTTATTTGGAAGAGATGAATCTAGAATATTCCCAGTAATTAACCCTTTTTATATTCTGTAACCAAGTCAACAGCAAACAACAACATCAACAGCAAACAATGTTCAGGCTTTGACATATAACTTTGTATTACTTTAAAAAAAAAGTAGATTTACTTTTTGAGCAGAGGCAGAGAGAAAAGAGAAGTCTTCCATCTTCTGGTTCACTCTCCAAATGGCTGCAATGGCCAGAACTGGGCCAATTTGAAGCCAAGAGCCAGGAGCTTCTGGGTCTCCCATGCAGGTGCAGGGGCCCAAAGACTTGGGCCATCTTCAACTGCTTTCCCAGGCCATAGCAGAGAGCTGGATTGGAAGTAAAGCTGCCAGGACTTGAACCAGCTCCCATATAGGAAACCAGCAATGTAGGCAATGGCTTTACCTGCTAAGCCATAGCACCAGCCCCTGTTTGTTTTTGAGAGAGAGAGTTACAGACAGAGGGAGAAACATAGAGAAAGGTCTTCCATCTGCTGGTTCACTCCCTAAATGGCAGCAACAGCTGGAGCTGAGCTGATCCAAAGCCAGGAGCCAGAAGCTTCCTCTTGTCTCCCATGTGGGTGCAGAGGCCTATAAACTTGGGCCATATTTTACTGCTTTTCCAGGCCATAAGCAGAGAGCTGGATCAGAAGAGGAGCAGCTGGGACATGAACTGGCGTCCATATAGGATTTCAGTGCCACAGCACTGGCCCCCAACTTTGTATTCTTTATTCAAGCATTTCCTCTGTTTGATCATTCATGAACCTGATGGAACACTTCTCATTATCTTTCACATTAATGTTTTTTTCATGCTGAAGGCCAAGATTTAAATGCCTGGAACTCTTAAACCACCAATAGGAATGTTTGTCATTAGCTTACCATATGTTCTTTATTTGATAATCTCAAGTTTTTTCCCATTGACACCAACAAAGAATAGCTTAACTCCTAAACACCCTGCCCCATCCAAACTGATATCCCAGTAAGATGGAAGACATTGACAGAAGTTTAGAAAAACCTTTACGGGTTAAAATAGAATCTTGCTAACTTGTTTGTATCTAGATCTGCCTATTGGATTCCACCTTTCTGGTCTTGCTCTGACTATGTAGGAGGTTTCAATGGGATTCTGTTCTGATTAGCATCTGCTAGTGTATAACCACTGCATCCTTTGAGTCCAGTCGTTAACTTTCATCAAAAGTCACATTGACAATCAGTGGGCACTTGATGCTGTTTCTGTGAGAAGGAAAGTACTTTGGCTTCCCATGATAGCCTTCTGCATTAGTTTCCTGATACAATTAAGTACCTGCAGCAATTAACCTTATAAGGGAAAGAAGTTAATGTTGGTTCATGGCTCTGATGTCCAAAGTGTAAGAACAGATAGACCCCACAGGTTCAGCCAGTGTGAAGCTGTTCTTACTGGCAGAGCCCCAGAGTAGCACAGGGCATGACATGGCAAGGGACAAGGAGCACATCTATCCATCTGTGTCTATGTAGTCCCTTATGAAGCCACCAGGATTCAATCATGGGCTCCCCCTAACTGCCTGAAGCAATCTCATCACTTCCCAAAGACTCCATCACTAAACATCAGTAGGATTCAATTCCTACCCTCTCAGAACTATTTACATGAGACTTTGGGGACCAAACTCCTAAGTTTGGGGGAACAAATATTCAAAGCATACCAACTTCCATTTTTAATATTTTGTTTCCTTGGAATTTGCTTGTAACTAATTTTCCTCCCAATCCGCAAAGTATAAGACTCAGACCATAGATATTTGCTTATGTGGTGTTTATTAAATAGGCCTGCAATCATTAACTTTAAGTCTATGTAGTCTTAAAATTCTTAAGGAAATTTTATGTATAGCTTTCTGTACTAAAGATATTTTCTTTTCATACTTCAATTTTTTTCAGCTCTTTGATTGGCACATACAGCTTGATAAATCTCTTCCTGCACCTCTGGGCACCATAGGTGCTTGGCTGTATAGGGCAGAGGTGGCCCTGAGAGAGGAAGTAACAGTGCAGCAGGTGCATGAAGAAACAGCAAACACAATACAGCGGAAACTTGAGCAACATAAGGTAAAATTCTGGTTGAGAAACTTTACAGCATAACCAGCCCTGCACACATGGCCCGATCAGAACCTGGGCTGGTCGGGTCCTCCTGAATGTGCAGTACCAGCAATTCAGAGACATTGTGTTTTCAGGAATTCTCCAGTTTACATTTTCCTGTTTGGGAACTTATTGCTGATGATTCCAAATGTTTGATTTCCTCAGAGACTTACCATTAAACTTGTGATTTTTTTTCCTTTTATTCTCCCTCTGATACTTATTTTTTCATGGTAATATACCATTAATACAAAGACTAGATTCAAGGTAGTTCATAGACACAATTCTAAGAATGTAATGACAATCCCTTTCTCCCGCCCACCCATCCCCTCCCTCTCCCTTTCTTTCTTCACTTTTTTCAAATTTTTGAGATCTACACCTATCACTGCAATTCTTTTTCTTTATTTTTCCAAAGATAGGCCCACAGATTTATACATTTACATAATAGTGTGACTGGTGGTTGGCCCCCAGACCTCATCCCTGCCTCCATTCTCAAAAGAGGGCTGACAAAATTTCTCCTGTCTTGCCACTGTGGGGCAGGGGTAAGGCTGGTGGGAGCAGTGGCCTTAGGAAGTGGTGAGATTAGGCTTGTTTATTCAATTTTTTGTTTATACAAGGTGAACAAATTTCATATTTCATATGAACAGAAACTTAGTGATACTTCCTACCCTATTCTCCCTCCTGCCCACACTCCTACCATCCATCATGCTCTCTTTCTTATTCTTTCAATTTTTACAATGACATACTTTGAATTTATTTTATAATCACAACCTTCCACTAAGTAAAGAATTTAGCAAATAGTAAGAAGAAAAATACACTGTTCCTCAGCAGTAGAGACAAGTAGAGACAATCTCAAATTGTCAACTTCGCTCATATGCATTACATTTTTTGTACTCTATTAGTTACCACAGATCAGGGAAAACATAAGATATTTGTCTCTTGGGGATTGGCTTATTTCACAAAGTGTAATGGTTTACAGTTACATCCATTTTGTTGCAAATGGCCACTTATTCAATTGGGACTTTATCTTACTGTGTATGGTTTAAGTTCCAATGTACTTTCTATGCATCGTCTTTGATAGCACAAACCTAACTTAAAATATTGGTTTACCACATTAATGCAATAACACATTTTGTTCATTGAGATTATGTACCTATTTGCTGTGCCATAGATTTGAATTTCACTGTCTACGTGGAAAACAAACTGCTAACCAGGGATTTCTACTCCTCATTATATCTCATATAATATATATGAATGAGATATATGTGTACATTTATACATACATACATTTATTTATATATAGTGAGGCAATTTATAGCTAATAAGTATTTTCTGACCATTTTTTTTTTGGTAATAGGCAACTTAGTGTGTATAAGGTGATATTGTATTCTGTTCCATTCATACTGCTCTTATGATCAGTGATGTCATAAATTTTTTCATATATCTGTTGGCCATTTGTATGTCATCTTTCGGGAAATTTCTATTCCAGTCCTTTGCCTGTTTATTTAAAAGATGATTTGTTGTTATTAAGTAGTTTGAGCTCCTTATATATTTTGGAATTATCCCTTTATTTGTTGTATGATTTACAAATATTGTCTCTCGCTACACAGGTTTTACTTTTACTCTGTTGATTGTTTCTTTGTGTTAACAGCTTTTCAGTTTGGCACATTCTCTTTTGTATGTTTTAGCTTTAATTGACCATTCTTTTGGGATCAGAACCAAGAAATCATTGTCTAGACAAATGTTGAAGAGCTTTTTTCCTATGCCTCCTGCTACTAGATTTAGTTTCCGGTCTCACATTTAAGTCTAATACATTTGGGGTTGATTCTTAAGTGAAGTGTCAGTTAAAGGCCTGTACAGTGTCTTCTGTCCGTGGATATTTAGTTTTCCCAACATTGATTCAAGAGTCTGACCTTTCCCCATTGTGTTCTTGGCACTTTTGTTGAAAATCAATTGAGCCTACCTATGTGGGTTTATCTTGGGGCTCTGCATCCCTTCCCAACAATTGATGTGCTCAGATAATTTCAAATTTTCTATACTTAACCTTTCCACCCCCCACCACCATCAACACACACAAGCACACACAAAGAGCTTCCTATCATCTGGTTTCTCAGATGAGAAAATGACTGTGAGGTCTGCTCTACCTGTACAAATACAGTAAAATCCAGTCCTGATTTTCTATCCCTTAGTACACTGAAATAGGAGAAGTTCTATTGGAGCCAGAGTTCAGGCCTCATATGAGATCAAGTCACAAGCATTTTTTCTGGGATTGAACCAGTTTGTGGCTTCTCAGAAGCATAGAAACACCCAAAGTGCTAAAATCATTCTACAAGTAACACCACTTTAACCATTAGCAATTAGGCATCTTTACATATGATAATTTCTCTTCAAGTAAAATGTGCACCAATTGAGATTACTTTCACTGGTGTGAATATCAGCATCAAAAGAAATCACCTTTCTCCCTCTTGTTTTATTGCACAATAAGGTGAATACAGGTAACTATAATGTACTGTATATTTCAGAAAAGCTAGACAAGGGGATTTTGAATATTTTTTTCCACACAGGAATGATAAATTACTAGGCTAAAGAAACTTACCCCAGTTTGAAAAATACACAGTGTATTCGTATAATAAAGCATTATGTGATATCAATGAAAAAAGAAATTTTAAAATTACATTAAAAGAGACCAGCACCACGGCTCAATAGGCTAATCCTCCACCTGCGGTGCCGGCACACCGGGTTCTAGTCCCGCTTGGGTCACCGGATTCTGTCCCAGTTGCCCCTCTTCCAGTCCAGCTCTCTGCTGTGGCCCAGGAGTGCAGTGGAGGATGGCCCAAGTGCTTGGGCCCTGCACCTGCATGAGAGACCAGGGGAAGCACCTGTCTCCTGGCTTCGGATCAGCGCAGTGCGCCAGCCACAGCGTGCCGGCTGCAGTGGCCATTGGAGGGTGAACCAATGGTAAAGGAAGACCTTTCTCTCTCTCTCTCTATCTCTCTCTCTCTGTCCACTCTGCCTGTCAAAAATAAAAAAAAAAAATAAATTACATTAAAAGAAATGAACTCAGATTTTCAAATGAAATGTAGAAAATATATCACTTGTGAATTAAATGTGATAATTTGGCAAATATTCATTGAGGTCCTACTGTGTGCTAGGCTTCAGTACTAGGGAATTGGTAAAGGTGCTAGAAAACACCCAAGCATTTGTAATGACTCCAAATGGGTGTCTTGATAAACACCATGTGTTTTTTGGTTAAATAATAGATTTAAGTTGACTGAAATGCTCCTTCAATGTGGCAGGCATTGTGATGCAGTGGGATGGCCATGACCTTTATCAGACTCTCAGTTCCTGTCCTGACTCCTCCATTTCTAATCCAGTTTCATGCTGATGGATCATGGGAGGCAGCAGATGATGGCTTGGGTGCTGCCTCCCACCCACATGAGGGACCCAGCTGGAGTTCTGGGATCCTTACTTTGTCCTGGGCAGAAGGTCATTGTGGCCTTTTGGGGAGTGAACCAACAGATGGATGATTCTCTCAAGTACATGAAAATAAATATTTTGAAACTTTAGGCTTTAAAGATAAATAGCGGCTCACTAGGCTAATCCTCTGCCTTGCGGCGCCAGAGTACCGGGTTCTAGTCCCAGTTGGGGCGCCGGATTCTGTCCCAGTTGCCCCTCTTCCAGGCCAGCTCTCTGCTATGGCCCAGGAGTGCAGTGGAAGATGGCCCAAGTGCTTGGGCCCTGCACCTGCATAGGAGACGAGGAGAAGCTCCTGGCTTCGGATTAGCACGATGCGCCGGCCGCAGCTCGCCAGCCGCGGCGGCCATTGGAGGGTGAACCAACAGAAAAAGGAAGAACTTTCTCTCTCTCTCTCTCTCCTCTCTCACTGTCCATTCTGCCTGTCAAAAAAGAAATAAGTGTTCTACCATAGAGAATATGTCCTACAATGTAACTGTACTATTTATAAGATTTCATTCAATATTTTTTAAAGATTGATTTATTTGAAAGCAAGAGCTTCCAGGGTTGGGGGGACTGGAGGGTGGAGAGAAAGAGTGCTTCCATTCGCTGGTTCACTCCTCAGATGACGAGAATGGGCAGGACTGGGCTGGTCCAGGCCAAAGCAAGGAGCCTGGAACTCCATCCAAGTATCCCATGTGGGTAACAGGGGCCAAAATACTCTAATTGGAAATGGAATGGCCATAGTCAAACTGACACCTGTGTGGAATGCTGGGCCACAGGCCTGGTGATAAGAATGCTAACTCATGCATTCTATGGGCAGCTTTAGCCCCTGACAGGTACTGTATTTTGAGTCATGATGATGTGCATGCTTTCTGTATGTTTCAGAGACTGTGTAATTCGAGGCTCTTGATGAGCCCTCTGACCCCACAGAGACAGAGGGAGAAAGCCTCTGCCAATCACCTAGAGTGCAGCTAGACCAACCTCTTGACCAAAGTGCAGTAAGTAAGCCATAGAAACCATAAATGAATAGAGCAGGGAGAGGCAGGAGGGCAGGAGTAGTTATCCAGGCCTGAAATAATGGAAAGGAGTAAAGAGAAACCCAAAGAATGTAAATAAGAAACAGGAGCATACAAGCTGAGGTAAGTGGAAATCAAGACAAGGATCAAGGCAAGTCTTTGAATGAAACAAGTCTTTTCAGGGAGGCACAAACTAAGTCTGCTTGCAGGCACTTAGCGAAGGCATAAAGCACTGTAATTGCAAACTATGATCAGTTCTCATTAATCAAAATACATTTATTCAATGCCCCAAATAAGCCAAGCTTAAAAGTAAGACAACTGAATCATTAGTAAGATAGCTAAAATTCTGTTTATTCAATAGCTCTAAAGCAGTTCATCAAATTTTTAATTTTTTTTTAACTTTTCTTTAACAAATGTGAATTTCCAAAGTACAGCTTATGGATTACAGCAGCTTCCCCCCGCCATAACTTCCCTCCCACCTGCAACCCTCCCAACTCCCAC